AGGAAAAGAAAAAAGAAAGGGAGGAGGGAGAAGAGAAAGGAGAAAAGGAAGAGAAAAGAGGAAGAAAAAAGGAAGAAAGAGAGGAAGGAAAACGGGGAAAAGAGGGAGGGGAAGGGAGGGAAAAGAAGGAAAAGAGAAAAAGGAAAAGAAGAGAAGAGGGGAAAGGGGAGGAAGGGAGGGAAGAGAAAAGGGAGGAGGGAGAGGAAAGAAAAAAAGGAGGAGAAAAAAGGAAGAAAAAGGGAGAAAGAGAGAAAACGGGGACGGAAAGGGAGAAAGAGAGGGGGGGGAAAGGGGAAAAGAGGGAAGGAAAAAAAGAAGAAGAAAAGAGGAGAGGAGGGGAAGGAGAAAAGAGGGGAGGGGAGGGGAGGGGAAGAAAAGGGGAGAAAAGGAGGAAAGGAGGGGAAGAGAGGAAAAGAAAAGAGAGAGGGAAGAGAAGGAGAGAAGAAGGGGAGGAAAGGGAGGAAAAAAAGGGAAGGGAGGGAAACAAGGAAAGAAAAGGAGGAGAAGAGGGGACAGGAGGAGGAGAGGAAGGAAAGGAAAGAGAAGAGAAGAGGAAAAGAAAAAGAAAAAGAGGAGCAAAGAAAAAGAGAAAAGGGGAAAGGAAGAAAAAAAGGGAGAGGGGAAAAAAGAGAAAGAAAGAAAAGGAGGGGAAGAAGAGAGAAGAAGGAAGAGAGGAGGGAGGGAAGAGGAGGGGGAAAAGAAGAGAAGAGGGGGAAAAGGGAGGGAGGGGGAGAGGGGGGAAAGAGGGAGGAAGGAGGGAGAGAAAAGGGGGAAAAAAAGGAAGAAAGAGAAGGAGGAAAAAAAGAAAGAAGAAGAAAAGAGAGAGAAAAAAACGGGGAAAGAGAAAGGGAGGGAGGGAAGTGAGTATGAGGATAGAAAAGAGGGGATAATATAAAAAGAATATATAAAGATTAATAAAAAAATCTTTTAAAAATATTTGAAAATATTTTAAAATTTTAAATAAAATATATAATTAAATATAATAAATAATAAAATATTAATTTATTAATTTATAATTTTATTAATTATTTTATTAATTTTTTATAATTTTTTTTTAATTTTTAAAATATTAAAAAAAAGTTTTTTCTTAATTAATAAACTTAAAGATTGTGTCGCCCTTCGGGGTGGCCTCCAGTTAGGGACGTTTGGGGTTTTTAGCCGCATTTAGTATATATTTTAAGATTTTAATTATTTTTAATAAAATTATATCGACGATAATATAATAAATAATAATAATAACGTTTAAAATATTTTTTATTTTAATTATTTAAGGTTAATTTTTTATTTTTGTTATTTTTTTATTTTTTTTATATGTTTATATAATATTACGTTATGATATTATAAGTTTTAACGTTTAAATAATTTTAAAACGTTATATTTATGCGTTTATATTTATAACTATTTATAACTACGTTTAAAATATTTTTTATTTTAATTATTTAAAGTTAATTTTTTGTTTTCGTTATTTTTTTATTTTTTTTATATGTTTATATAATATTACGTTATAATATTATAAGTTTTAACGTTTAAATAGTTTTAAAACGTTATATTATATTTACGCGCTTACATTTACGCGTTTATACCTACGCGTTTATATTTATAATTATTTATAATTACGTTTAAAATATTTTTTATTTTTTAATTTAAAGTTATTTATTTAATTATTCGAATATTTTAACTTTTTTTACATGTTTATAAAATATTACGTTATAAAATTATAAGTTTTAACGTTTAAATTATAGTATTTATTGCGATTAACGTTATAATCGGCGTTACGATTAATGTTATAATTAATTTTAATTTAAAACGTGTATATTTTATTTAATAATTTATTTAAATGATTAAATTAATATTTATTTTTTATATAAAAACTTTATTTATTATAAAAACGCGTTGAAATTAATGTTTTTAATTGATTTAATTATTAATAATATTATGTGTAAAGAAAATGTTTAAAGTTGTTTTAGATTTATTTTAATGTGTTAAGATTAAAGATTCGAAGACCGGCGGGGCTTCGCCCGCTTTTGCCTCCCGCCACAAAACCTATAATCTGTATATTTATATTTATAAATCGTAAGAAAAGCGTTCCTCAAATTTTAATTTTAAATAGTTTTGTATATTATAAAACAAACCAACACAAATTTAAATTTTTAATAAGATTTTTAATAAAATTATATTAATAATAATATAATAAGTAATAATAACGTTTAAAATACTTTTTATTTTAATTATTTAAGGTTAATTTTTTGTTTTTGTTACCTTTTTATTTTTTTTATATGTTTATACGATATCATATTATAATATTATAAGCCTTAATATTTAAATAACTTTAAAACGTTATATTTACAAGTTTATATTTACAACTATCTACAACCACTTATAACCACGTTTAAAATACCTTTTATTTTAATTACTTAAGGTTAATTTTTTACTTTTACTATTTTTCTATCTTTTTTACATACTTATAAAATATTACGTTATAATATTATAAGCCTTAACGTTTAAAAATACGTAATAGCTTTAACGTTATACCTACGTGTTTGTACCTACGCGTTTGCACTTATAACAACATCCAAAATACCTTTTATTTTAATTATTCAAAGTTAGTTTTTTATTTTTACTACCTTTTTGTTTTTTTTATATATTTATATAACATTACGTTATAATGTTATAAGTTTTAACGTTTATTACAATATTTATTACAACTATTGCGTTACAACCGGTATTACAATCAATATTATAGCTAATTTTAACCTAAAACGCGTACGTTTTATATATAATAATTTATTTAAATAATTAAATTAATATTTATTTTATAAAAACTTTACTTACTATATTTTCAATTAATTTAATTATTATTATAGCCGTTTAAATAAAAAATATTTAAAATCACCTTAAACTAAAGATTTAAAAATGTTTTAAAGGGGTGTACTAAGGTGTAATTGGTTGGGGAAGGGTGTGGCTAGGAGAGGTACTTCCCCCCAAACCATTTTCAAATTTCTAGTCTGAGCTCGCTGAGATAATTTTAGATTAAAAATTGGAAAATGTTTTCGGGGGGGTGTATTGGGGTGTGATTGGTTGGGAAAGGGTGTGGCTGGGGGAGGTATTTTTTCTCGAACCATTTTTAAATTTTTAGTCTAAGTTAGCTGAGATAAATAGGATTATTAATTCCGCCTTTGAGGTAGTTATATTAAATCGAAAATTGGTGTTATAAGACTTTCCAAATCACGAGAACCAATACCGCGAGCCGCTGTTGCGGCTCTTTTTGACAATTTTTAGGTTATCTCGCGACTCGGCTGATGACTAAAACACGAGCGAACTGGCCGGACAGAGTCCTACTTACGATGTAGTATCATATATCACACCCAGCTGGGCTTCTCGGCCAAATAGGCGCCCAATTAAGTGCCCGTCCGGATTAACTTGTGCTATCAAGCGGGTTAGGTGGAGGGCGGTTTCGAAGATCGCGGAGGGAGTCAGTAAAAGGCGGCGCGCGAGGCGTTTAGAAGGTATAGTGGCGATCGACATTAGCAATGCCTTGTTTACTAGGTACTCGTATCGACAATATGCGGTAGCGGGAGGGAGGAGCATCGTGAGATGAGATGGAGTTAGATAAATAGATTAATCTTTTCCTGGACGACTTTGGTTGAGATTCCTCTTTGGGGAGGTATACCATCGTGAGAGACTAGGATTAGACGTATTTATTTATTTAGAGACGATCAAGCTTAACTCCGGAACTACAACGTTGTGATTCTATATTACTAAAAAGGGGACCAGAGAAGACCTGGCCGAGTCTAATCAGCCTTACAAACATAAATCTCCTTGAACTCCTAATAAACCGACACGATATCACCAAATGACCACCTACATAGCATCCAAGAACTCTATCACGATGTACCGCAACACTCACTACGCAAACCAAGCCGAACATCCTCAACTCCAAGTCACCGTTACTACGATGACGGTCCCAGGAGAACTATACAACTTAACACAAGGCGGCCTTTTCCTCACCATGGCCGAAGACACCAACAACACTACAACCAGCGGATGCTGCAACTGTGTCGGGAATCGCAAACGGAAGAGCCTAGTCGCAAGCCTAACCGAGCTACTCAGTAGACCCTGGGCCGTTCGAGAATGCCGAGTCGTGACGAACGAGTGGGACATGTTTATGACACCGCGAGTACAGCTGAATCCACACCAACCGGTATGTCAGCACGGGAATGCATCGCCGTTTACCGCGTCTCAGAGATATAATGGGGAAAGAGAGAGGGAGGTTATTGAGCTGGAGGGGAATCATACTTATGAGCATAATCGACGTTGATATATCTGTGGTTATGAGGGGGCTATTAGTAGTGAGTGAGTGAGTGGTGGTGGAACGGAGATATGGATTTTATGAAGAGGAATTGGGTAGGATGAGACGTAAATGGGATGGATATAGGATAATGGGAGAGCACACGTATATTTCAGGAGATGGTGAATTAGCACGGACTTGCCTTTGAGATTTGAGCCTGGAGCTGAAGTCTGGTTTTTTTTTAGAAATTGGGGGAGCCCCCTATTTGGAGGCTTAATGGGTGCGATGATGAGGTTATGAGGATATTACCGTCTAGTAAATTATTGACGAGAACTTGAAATACTCACTAAACATCAATCAAAAGATTCAAAAGCCAAAAAGGCTACCTTCCTGCTTTATAACTCGGGTCATTATTTATTAAGAATGAGTTTAACACTCTGAAAGCTTGTCTCGATACGCAGGTAGATCATAGTGAGGAATTAAAAGTGGAATATTGCACCTAGTCACGAACTCGAAAAGAAAAATCTTGGCATTTGGTATATTTTTATCATTCCTAGGCATTGCCTATGTCCATCCATGCCTTGCCATGCACAGAAGATCGAGATTCCGGGCCGCGAAAAACCTTTAATGTGATGAGAAAAGAGCAACCGGCAGAGAACCCAGAAACACCATCACCAGCACCACCCACGCACCACCATCTGATTTACCCTCCTTAGATGGTCGTCTCGTACGCGATGGGAGTCACCGTCTCCGGGTGGTTGTCCTTCATGGACACCGTTCGGGCGTCACGGGGAAGGGTAGCTTGTCGCTTAACGGTAACGGTAGTACCATCAGCCTTGGCCTGCTTCTTGAGCGCGGCGTTCTGCTTGACGCGCTTGAGGAAATCCTCTCTTGATCGCGATCGGGTGATGTGCTCGATGCGGACGTTGATTCGCTTCTCGATGTACCGGTGCTTCACCTTCTTGTAGATAATGACGCCGACGGCCGTCTTGGTGACGTTGTAGATGACACCGGTCTTGCCGTGGTAGACCTTGTGAGGCATACTATTTTCCATCCAAGTTAGCTCCGGTTCGCAAAGCGATTCGTATCCTTGCCAAGTTCGTAGCTTTCGCTCCTGGGTTCGGTCGGATCGCATTTTCGTGGGATTTTATGCCTTACCCCTTCTGAACAGCACCATTGGCCTTGATGTCAACGATATCGCCGACCCTGTCCAATTGTCAATAATTTGTTTCAATTCGAAATATTGCAGATCGATGCGTACTTGTACTGTTGTAGGTAGGTAGAGAGACGGATCGAACCCTTCTCTCGGAAGTTTCGAGAGAAGGCGTACTATTTATGTTTGTTAGTTGTAAAATTTCCCTTAATAAAATTGAATTATCTTGGTAGAATTGATTAAACGTACTCGAGTACCAGCGCGGAGACCTGCGGCGTGACCCATCTTGCCGGTGTTGTCGTGTGGTGAAGAGAAATGTAGAGTGTTATGGAGGTTGATTGATTTCTCTTCTCTCTCTTGATGTCGGCTCTCGAGAAATTCGCTTAGGAATTTTTTTGGGGCTTGTGAGCGGTTGTGGACTTTGGAAGCTACTACCTACTAGGAAAGTTGCCGCAGATTAAGCGAGGCGAGGGGTTACTTGTACGGATTATGTATGTACCTAATGTACCCAATCAAGTTTAGCTCCACTCTTGCCCTACTCCATTCCACAAATCCACTTCTTTTTCTAACTACCATCTTTTTTTTTCCCTCCCATTCGTTTTCTAAACTTCGCGCATCTTACGACAACCTCAATTTCTTCATTCCTTTCCCCTCCCAACCACCAAATCATCAAGACAATTGAGTCGCAACCATGGCGCCTCTGTCTTATTCCAAGACCGCAAAGGTCCCCCGTCGCCCTTTCGAGGCCGCCCGTCTGTCAGTAATCACCGGCCACTGAGTTAGAGCTTGTCTCGACTTAAGTCGATTGTGAACGAGAAAACTGACATGGTCGCCTTCATAGTGATTCCGAGTTGAAGCTCGTTGGAGAGTACGGTCTACGAAACAAGCGTGAGGTTTGGCGTGTCCAGCTCACCCTTTCCAAGATTCGTCGTGCTGCCCGGTAAGTTTTACTCCCATTCATCTTTAACTATACGTATTTAAAAATATCTTGAGTTACAAAAGCTAATCTAATTCAATATTATAGTCAGCTTCTTACCCTCGACGAGAAGGACCCTAAGCGTCTCTTCGAAGGCAATGCCCTCATTCGCCGTCTTGTTCGTGTCGGTGTGCTCGACGAGTCCCGCATGAAGCTCGATTACGTGCTTGCCCTGAAGGTCGAAGATTTCTTGGAGCGCCGCCTGCAGACTTGTGTCTACAAGCTCGGTCTTGCCAAGTCCATCCACCACGCCCGTGTCCTCATCCGCCAGCGCCACATTCGTGTCGGCAAGCAGATCGTCAACGTCCCCTCTTTCATCGTCCGTCTCGACTCCCAGAAGCACATCGACTTCTCTCTGACCTCGCCGTTTGGTGGCGGGCGTCCCGGCCGTGTCCGGAGAAAGAAGGCCAAGGCCGCCGAGAAGAAGGATGACGGCGAGGAGGAGGAAGAGGAAGAGTAAATGCATCACTCTCCATGAATTTACGTGGATAGTTTGCCGGTGGGGAAAACGGATTACATTATGGGCGTATGAAACTACTTTAAAGGTCATACCTCAAGGCGTTAGGCCAGGGGAAACGGAATGCATGAAAGAACTTTCACGACCGTTTGATAAATCAATGCTCTATGTGATCCACTGCTTTTACTCCTTTCGATGTATTATAATATTGCTTGGTGATATGCCAATACTACCGAACTAATTCGTCATTCCCTAAAAATTTTGCCATGGGATCGTCTGCCGCTGTGCGTTTCCTGCGATACTCGTCTAACTCGGCTTCTGAAATCCCGCCCATCATCTCTTCCACCGTGCGCTTCTTGCTTGCTTGTTGTGTAGGTTCGGCTTCATCCGTCTTTTTCTCCGCCTCTTCATCCTGAGTAGGTGCTTCTTCGATTAGATCAATACCCGTCCTTTGCTTCTCAGCCGCCTCCCAGGCTCCCTTACCCTCCTCACCCGTACAGTAGCTATTTTTAATAAAAGAATGACAGCACGCGTAGCCCCATTTGAAGTTGGACCACCAGCTGCCCCATACTGAGGTGTGATTGTTCACATAGACGTCCTCCGCGTACTTGGACTTGGCCGACGTCCTGGGGGCGCCCTTGATCAAGCCCGACTCGTCGTACTCGACGAACTGCTCCGACTCGGTCACGGCGGCATCGCGCAGGGCAGCTGGCATCACGTGCTGGTCGCCACCGTATTTGTCCTGGAGGGCCTTGATCTTCTCGGCGCGCTTCTGCTCGGCTTCGTCGCGCTCTTTCTTGCGGTAGAACTCGCCTGCCGTGGGGTTCGCTTGTAAGTGCTGGCTTGTATCGCCGCTGCCCTCTTGTTTCTCCCACGCGTACTTCTGCGCCTTTTCAAACTCGGCGGCGTCGCCCGAAGCGCGAAGGTACCCTTCTTCTGCGAAGAGCTGTGCGGCTTTGTCGACTGTGGCGCCGGCGTCGACCATGGTTCGTGTCTTGGGGTCGTATTTGGCTGATTCCAGGTCCAGGTTTAGGAGGTATTTGGCTGTGTCTTCTCGTATTCGCAGTTGTCGCGTCGCGGTGCTCTGATGTCGTCCCATGTCTGATTCCTCGGCGTATTTCTCGCCCGAGTCTTTGTTATCCTCTTCGCCGTCGCCGTCGCCATCCTCCTTCTCCTTGTCCCCGGATAGCTGGGTACGGAGCTCATCCATATGATTGTACCGCTCCACGACGCGGCGGTACTCCTTAGGGTCGTAGCCGTTCCACCGGTCTCGCTTGGCATCCCAGCCGAGCTCGACGTCCTGGATCGCTTCGTCGGCCTGTATGTCTTTTCCGGTCCACTTGGCGCCTTTCGCGCGCGGACGGTTGAGGCAGTCTTTCGCCTTGTGCGTCATGGCGCCGCAGTTTTCGCACGCGCCCTTGCGGTACTTGGTGGCGGCGGGACCGAGCTTCTTGCCGCGGTCGTACCATTTCGACTGATCATCCTTGGTCTTTTGTAATCGCTGATGCTCGAGGTAGTCGGTCGCGTCGCCTTCCTCACCCGCGTAGAAGGGCCGCTTGCTGATGAAGGACGGGATGTAGATGTTTTCCTCTTTGGAGGCAGCTGATGCCTTGGAGTCGTTCCGCCGCGACGGCGGTGGCGGCGGCGGCGGCATGCTGACTGCGTTTTATATGTGTGTTTATGTATGTGCTGAGATGGGCGGTGACTTCAAGGAATAGGTGTCTCGAGGGCGGATTAGGGATTTGATATTGAAACCTGGGGGATAGGAATATTTTTAGATATACATGTAGAAAGTCTAATCAAGACGGGAATGAACTCTTGCTTTGAGGTATCTTTGTATCGAAATTGTGGCTAGAACAAGGATTTAAAGATGTGGCTGGATTGCGGCGCGAAGAGGGATCCGTTAGATCGGTATTCTGAATTTCGGATGAATATCCAGGTGTTATCGAATATAGATATGCATTTATCAAGTACTTAATGTTAGTTTTACGACACTTGACACCTGACAGCGCGTCGTGGTATGAAACTAACTGATTCACTTAACGCGTCCGCCTCGATGGGGGCCCGCGCCATTGATATTGAAACAAAGCACTAAATTCATAGCTAACAACTTTTTGGGTATATAATTAATAAACTCTAGTTAAGTTTATACGAGGTGCTTTGGATTCTCCAAGTATCCTTAAATTGTATTGACGCTATGACGTACAGCACAAATCGCCATGGACGTCTTCCGCGTGCGGCTGAACTGCATAGACCATTATCAAGCCATCCCTACGATATATGACCCTCAACTTCGCAATGATATCCGTCCATCCCAATTGAACAAGGAACCCAGAGTTCCTGTCATCAGAGTTTTTGGCTCGACAGAAACAGGCCAGAAAGTCTGCGCGCATATCCACGGCGCATTTCCGTACTTATACATTGAGTATAATGGGAGTTTACTTCCCGATGATGGTAAGGTCTATGAGAGTCCAGTGAAGTCACGGTTCTAATTCGGTATCTTAGTGGGTGCTTATATATATCGCCTTCATCTCTCTATTGATCACGCCTTGGCTGTGAGTTACCGTCGTAGTGCTCATGATGGAAAGAGCAAGTATGTGGCGAGGATAACCCTCGTCAAGGGAATCCCGTTCTACGGGTTCCACGTCGGCTATCGATTCTATCTTAAAATATATATGCTTAACCCCCAGGTTATGACCCGGCTTATCGAGCTACTTCAACAGGGAGTCATTATGAAGCGGAAGTTTCAGCCTTTTGAAGCACACTTGCAATATCTATTACAATTTATGACCGACTATAACCTCTATGGGTGCGGATACATAGAATCCCAAAAGGTCTATTTCAGGGCCCCGGTGCCCGAGTATAAGAATGACTTAGAACTACCTCATCTATGGCATAGTCAGTCAGTCTCGACGAAATTCATCACCGAGGATCCGGATCTTCCCCGTGCTAGTCATTGCTCGATCGAAGTCGACATGTGTGTTCAGGATATCCTTAACCGGCACGAAATCAAGGAGAGGCAACTTCATCATGATTTCATCGAGAGGAAGTACCCCCTATCTCCCGATCTGAAACTTGTCCACAGCATGGCGGGACTATGGAAGGATGAGACGAAGCGTCGTAAAAGAAAAATGCTCGGCAGAACACCGGGAAGCAGCCCGTTCCCTCCGGAGGCTTTAGTTTCTATGTCTGCAGACCCACGCAATTCACAGCCATCCGGGTGGGTTCATGAGGAAGAATTCAGGGACCAGATCCAGGGGTTAATACAGCAAGAGCATGAGCAGAGCAATGGTGGAGAGGTTGCTTTTGATACCTTCGTCAAGGACATACCTTTAGGATCTACTGTCAAAACTTTACTGCAGTCTGTCGAGGATCTTTATCCCGATAACCTGGAATCTATGCTTGGTATAACAAGCCAACGGTTTGAAAACGATGAGAATCCTACTAGCAGTATCATTGTGGATGACAAACGTATCCTTGATTTTAGACTCAATGAGGACAGTGTATTTCAAGATGACTCAGGCGAGGAAACGTCATATGGTCTAAATCCATTAAAGAACAAGGACCCTAATACTAGGAAATTAGGCGAAGGGAATCCCACAGGAGCAAACAGATTGCCACATCAGGATACCGACAATAGTGGTTCGCATACCCGATCTGACGCACTCAAGTCGATAAGCTCGAGTATCGACTCAGAAAAGGAGAATCGTCCAGAACTACTTATCAACGGAGTGTACGTTAGTTGCTTGCGTACTAAGAACCGACGACACATCCCAGTCTCGGATGTTCTGTTAGATATTGCAAAGGAGCAAGGAATGGTGAGCAAAGCTCCTCAGGATATACAACATACCCTGCCCAAAAGGGCCGCAAAGCGTGCACACTCGCCGTTTCAGGGAGAAAGGGAAGCAAAGCACCGTCGCGTAGGTTTTGCTTCTACTCTAAGTGCGGATAAAACAAGCATTATAGAGAAACCAACAGCGAATCCAAGAGAGCCAACCGGACGAGAGGTTCAAGTAATATCTACGCAGGCCACGCAATTGAGATCAAAGAAAACCCCAAAAGGATCCGGAAACCATACGCTTAATTTTCCAGTCGTCAAGAACCCCAACGATCCAAGCACCAGATTGCGACTAAGCCAACAAACAAGCTCTCAGAAAAGTGACAATGGCGAGCTTGAGAAGCACGTCAGATTCAGCTCATGGACTTCGACAGATGCTGCTGCTCAAAACTCGATTTTGCACACGGACAAACTGGAGCCTGATAATTATATGAAAGAGAGTACGAAAGGAAGGGATATTGTAAATTTTATCGATGTTGGATGTATCCCTCGTCCCCAAGCGCAATTCTTCATTTTTGGTCAACCTCCACCCTCGGCAGAAGAGATTTTGTCTACCATGGATTCTCTAGATCGCCCTAGCGTCATATATCAAGATGCATTCTATAGCAACGAGAAAGATGTCCCTCAAAGAGTTCGGGAGTATGCTGGTCAGGAATTTCGTCTTGAAGGCAATACATTGCCATATCTTCCAGATTTTGACCCAACAGGAGCATCTCCAGCCAATTTTGGCGTGAAATCGGAGGTGCCTAATGATGCCGAGAGGGATGACCAGGTTTATAAGAAACTACGTCAGGAATGTTCACTAAGGAGCTGGGAAATCGCGGAGCCGCCACCTAGTTTTGACGAAGTACGGACTTGGTGGGCGAAAACGCAGGAGATGGCAAGCAATTCCCAAGAGCCCGTAATAAAACTTCGCGACCCTGAGCTCAAGCCATATCTATCACAGATTGACGGACCCACCCCTCGAAATAAGCATAACTTTAAGTATTCCCAGAAAAAGAAGTCTACAAGTGTTCAGCATGAAGCTCAATACATGAGTACGATGAGCTTGGAGGTACACGTCAACACCAGGGGCAAGCTTTTTCCAAATCCGGAAGAGGATGAGGTTCAATGTATTTTCTGGTGCTCCAAGTCAGATGAGAACTTCGCCACTGGTGATAATGCATCAGAGTCGATCCACTCAGGTATCATTGTTCTCTCCGAGGACGGGTGTTTGGCACGAAGAATGCAAAAGCAGAGTCCAATTCTAACTGAGATTATTGAAGAATCATCGGAACTCGACTTGATGGTGAGGATGGTCGAGATTGTTAGGACGCACGACCCTGATATCCTTACTGGCTACGAAGTTCACGGTAGCTCCTGGGGATATTTAATCGAAAGAGCAAGATTCAAATATGACTATAATCTGTGCGACGAATTCTCGCGGATGAAGAATCAGTCATTCGGGCGATTTGGAAAGGAAGCAGATCGATGGGGCTTCAACACTACTTCAACTATTCGAGTTACGGGTAGACATATGGTCAATATCTGGCGTGCCATGAGATCGGAACTCAATCTCCTTCAGTACACGATGGAGAATGTTGTGTGGCACTTGTTGCATCGACGAATTCCGCATTACCCCTGGCAGACCTTAACGGAATGGTATGTCGGAGGGAGGCATCATGGCCTAGGCAAGCTCCTTCGATATTACCTGAGCCGAACAAAGCTCGACATAGAGATCCTTGAAGCAAACGAGCTCATCCCACGTACAAGCGAACAAGCACGACTACTAGGTGTGGACTTCTTTTCTGTTTTCTCTCGCGGATCCCAGTTCAAAGTAGAGTCGATCATGTTCAGAATTGCAAAACCAGAAAACTTTATATTAGTTTCGCCCGATAGAAAACAGGTCGGGGGTCAGAATGCCCTTGAATGTCTCCCTCTTGTCATGGAACCTCAAAGTGCATTCTACAATAGTCCATTAATCGTCCTCGACTTTCAGAGTCTATACCCTAGTGTCATGATCGCATACAATTACTGCTATTCAACTTTCCTCGGTCGTATTGTCAACTGGCGCGGTACGAACAAGATGGGGTTTACGGATTATCAGCGGCAACAGAGGCTTTTGGAACTGCTTAAAGATCACATCAACATATCGCCTAACGGCATGATGTACTGCAAGGCAGAAGTTAGAAAGTCCTTATTGGCAAAGATGTTGACAGAAATTCTGGAAACACGAGTGATGGTGAAGAGCGGTATGAAGCAGGATAAAGACGACAAGACTCTGCAGAAGCTCCTCAACAATAGGCAACTTGCTCTAAAGCTACTTGCAAACGTTACATATGGATATACGTCAGCCTCATTCTCAGGTCGCATGCCGTGCTCCGAAATTGCAGATAGCATCGTGCAGACTGGACGTGAAACTCTCGAGAGAGCAATAGCCCTAATACATTCGGTGGAAAAGTGGAAAGCAGAAGTCGTCTACGGCGATACTGATAGCTTATTCATCTATCTACCGGGCAGGACTAAAAACGAGGCGTTTGACATTGGCAACGAGATTTCTAAAGCAGTTACAGACATGAATCCTCGGCCGATCAAGCTTAAGTTCGAGAAAGTCTATCACCCATGTGTTTTGCTTGCGAAGAAGCGCTACGTCGGCTACAAGTACGAGAGCAAAGATCAGGTCAAGCCTGACTTTGACGCAAAGGGTATCGAGACGGTTAGGAGGGATGGGACACCTGCCGAACAGATGATAGAGGAAAAGGCGCTCAAGATCCTCTTCGAGACAGCTGACCTCAGTCAAGTTAAATCCTATTTCCAGAAACAATGCGAAAAGATTATGCGCGGAGCTGTGTCGATGCAAGACTTCTGCTTTGCGAGGGAGGTTAAGTTGGGAACTTATAGCGACAAGGGAGCACCCCCACCAGGCGCCTTGATCAGTACGAGGAAGATGCTTGAAGATGCGAGGGCGGAGCCTCAGTACGGCGAGCGGGTTCCTTACGTTGTTATTTCGGGAGCCCCTGGAGCACGTCTTATCGACCGCTGCGTGGCACCTGAGGAGCTACTTACTAGCCCGCATCTTCAACTAGACTCAGAATACTACATCTCAAAGAATCTAATCCCGCCGCTCGAGCGCATCTTCAACCTCGTCGGGGCTAACGTACGGCAGTGGTACGACGAAATGCCCAAAGTACAACGGATCCGGCGCGTGGATCCGACTGCCTACGGCGGCGGGAAGAACCCATTCGCCAAGAAGACGCTAGAATCATACATGAAGGCCGCAGCCTGTCTAGTCTGCGGCTCAAAAGTTAAAACCGAGGGCTACTCGGTGTGCACGAGATGTCGGCGCAACGCGCCAGCCTCGCTCCTCAAGTTGCAGGCGCAGCTTAATCGCGAAGAGACGAAGTTAATGGAGGTAACGAAGATATGCCAGAGCTGCGCGGGGCTCGCGCCGCTAGACAGCGTGCCTTGCGATAGTAAGGACTGTCCTGTGTTTTATACGCGAATGAAGCAGGTCGCGCGGTACATGGCGGAGAAGAGTGTTATAGAGCCGGCTGTGAAGCAGCTTCTGGAGGGCGAGGTTGAGGTAGAGGAGTTGGATTGGTAGAGGAGGAAGGAAGGGTATACATGCTATGTTATGGCCTTAGAATTCTCGTATACCTAACCTTTGTAGGATACTAAGCATTGTATGGCGTTTTAGCATAAAGGGGGTATGATGACGGCCCTTGAGGTGGCTGATTAACTTTATAGAGCATACGTAAACTGAGGTGTCTTATGAATATTTACCCAAGGTAGTTTTTGAATGCGAGATGAATTTATGCAGCATCAATAATAATAACCAATATTTTATCAAGTGTACTCTATTTGGTTGCTTCATGCTTTATCTAGGCATGTAGGTGCCTGGGTATTTATATGTAATATCTTAACTGTTAATATTAAGAGAGTTTAGATATCAGCTGTGCCTGCCCCGCGAACCTACAAATGCCCCACGTGCACTGAAAGTCAGCCTGTGACGTCCCATAGCCAAGGCAATTGGAGGCCATTGGACCGCCTGGTTCCGTTATTAACCTTTCAAGGTTTCCACTTGCATGCAATAGCTCCAGCTGGCGCGAGCATCGAAGCTCTCTTAAGGTGGCCTTATCATCATAAATTAAACTTACCCGAGAACTTAACTTAATACATAATACCAGCCTTGCCTTGCCAGCTTATACCAACTTATACTAAATATAATCACTAGTTAACAGGTAGGTATACTTCACTTTTTTATTTCGAACCTCTTTCGGAAAAAGAAAAAAGAAAAAAACAAAACATAATCAATCAATCATCCATGGTCCACCAAATTCGGCCGCCGCAAAGGTTAGCAGATCCGCACTTTGCTGGCTGTTATTGTTGTTGTAAACCGGAGATATGGGTATGAGCTGGACTGGTTTCTTATTGACCTACCTCTTTGGTGGTGTCACTTTCATTCCTTTAGTTTTAGTAGTTGTACTACTTCATGCGCATCTTACATTTCCGACTCGCGATGAAACCGTAAAGGAAGATGACGGCAATGACCCCAACAGCATCGTCCAGCCTGATGACGATACGACAGCCCTTCGAGAGGCTCAGAAGGAAGAATCAAAACAGCGCCTCCTAGCCGAATCCGATACAGCGGCAGGATACTTCGCAGTATGTCGTGAATACACCCCGATGGGCATCAATGCCAAACCGATAGAGCGTTCTACTCCCGTAGGATCGACCACCGTTGCTCCGCCTAGCCAGAGTGTATATCAGTCTATGTACAGAAGTATATTCGACAGGAAGCAGACTCCCAGCCCGTTAGACGACAGTAAAGGTGTTAGTCAGCGACCTAAGAAGGCAGGAAATGTGTTCTACGTCGTACTGAGGTACGTTATTAGCCGTCTTTAACGCAGGTCTTAGGAACTAAGCAGCTAATGTTTCATCGATAACAGACACGGCCACTTAATGCTGTTTGACGACGATGAGCAGATCGAAGTCCGCCACGTTATCTCTTTAGCCCACCACGATATTAGCATATACTCTGGAGGAGACCCTACCCCCGAAGGCGAGTTATTTATTAAGCGAAATGCATTACGCTTGAGCAGGAAGAGGGATGGGAAAGACTTGACTCGAGACGCCCAAGTGTCAAAACCATTCTATCTCTTCTCCGAGAACTGCTCCACGAAGGAAGATTTCTATTTTGCTCTGCTCAGAAATCAAGAACAGACATTTACCGGTCTGAATCTAGCCCCGAAACCTCAGCGATTCGAAGTCAAGAATATCATATCATTAGTTCAGAAGTTACATTCCTCTGAGGATCACCTACAGACGAGATGGCTTAATGCCTTGATCGGGAGGATATTCCTCGGTGTCTACAAGACTAAGGACATTGAAAATCTTATCAGGGAGAAGATTACGAAGAAAATCTCCCGTGTCAATCGACCATCTTTTCTCACTAGTATCACGATACAGAATATTGACACGGGAGATTCGGCCCCGTTATTTATGAATCCCCGGCTCAAAGACTTCAGCGTGGAAGGAGAGTGTGGAATGGAGGCTGATGTTAAGTACAACGGCAAATTCAGATTAGAGGTTGCTGCCACGGCGCGTATCGACCTAGGCCCCCGGTTCAAGGTGAGAGAAGTCAACCTCGTACTTGCTGTGGTCTTGAAGAAGTTAGAAGGACATGCTTTCTTCAAGATAAAGCCACCTCCTAGCAATCGTATATGGTTCTCATTCCAGTCCATGCCTAAGATGGAGATGACGATTGAGCCTATCGTAAGTTCGAGACAGATTACATACACAGTGATTCTACGACAGATCGAGAACAGAATCAAGGAGGTCGTGGCCGAGACACTAGTAGCACCATTTTGGGACGATATTCCCTTCTTCAATACCGAACACAAACAATGGCGCGGGGGAATATTCGAAGGCGATGACGCAGTTGAGACTTCTCCCAATACTGAATCCATGGTCGCTCAGCACGGAGATGTAAACGAGGTCAGCCATATCGAAGAAACAAGCACGGATACGCCTCCTGAACAGCCTCCGTTGGAGAAGAGTCATACCGTGCCCGTTATGGAGACATCTCAAACGGTGCAACCACAAGGATTCTGGGGTAGAAGGCTTAACTCAAAAAAGAGTTTACAAAGTGATGGTAGTCAGAGTCCGTCTGCATCAACGACGGCTTTCGAAGCAAGGAGCCCACGAAGCTCTGCGACGGAGGTGCTACACCCCTCGCGATCAGGATCTATCTCGACGTCGAGCCCTATCGTCAGCACTGACCCCGTGCATGCCGAAACTTTCAGACCTTCGACCAGTCCACCAGATCGTGATGATGCAATTAGTGCAATGGCACATCTCTCTGCTAGGTCCAAGAACACGTCACCGGCTCATACCCCCGTCGGGTCGCCCGGTAAATCATCTTCTACCTCACAAGCGATCAATGGCTCCACGAATTCGTCTTCCGAAGCCATCCCCGAAGTACGCGAAGACAATAACACCCCTACAGCGCCAGGCAGACGTCACACTGCCTCTTCTACAGGAAGTGCTGAGAGTGATAATGCACCTCCAAGCTCACCTGCGCCATCTAGCAGCAGAAACTCGATCAAGAGTAATACTGGGTCATTAGGCAAGGGTTTCTTCACACGAAGAGAAAACAATAATTCTTCACCGGCTGGTTCTATAAATGGGACAGCAGAGGGCAAGCGAAATACCCTAGCGGCCGTGTCTAACGCCGCCGCGACAGCAAAACGATGGGGCCTGAACGCAATACAGAGGCAGACGGACAGGAACGGCGGTGTTAACGGACGCAAGCTTTCTGATCCTCCACTGGACCTGAATCAGCCTATGGGGCGTGGTCAACCATTGCCGCCTCCTGGCACGCCGCTACCCGGGCCCGGAAAGAAGGCATCCCCGATGGCCATCCTGCCCAAACGGAAACCTATTGCTCCTCCGCAATCGCTCCCACGACAGAGTACTGGTAACTTACATGATGCGAAAACAGAACGACGGCCCGTGCCGCCACCTCCGCTACCATCGAGACGCAGACGTATCTCTCAGATCCACATTGCCGGTAATGACGGCAGTAATGATGATAATGTCCTCGTTGTTGCGGCGCCGGCAGATTCGGAGCCGAATAGCCCGTCATTCCAGATTAGCGATCACGATGATGCCATGTCTTCACCCGGGTACGTCCAGCCTTGGGTTGAGGATGCGGAAGAACTGGATGGCGACATGCATGAAGATGCAGAGGGCGAGAGCGAAGACTTAATCCATATAGTAGATGACGAGGATAAGGCGTCTGTGAAGACGCATACTCCGCCTCCTAATCTACCCCCGAGGAGACAAGTAGAGGAGCAGAGAGGGGAGCATCAGGAGATAGGAGAAGAGAATGAGGACGAAGATGGGTATACAAATTGGGTAGAGGGCCCTGAGCCTGATTTTACCGAATCAGTCCCCTCTGACTCTAACATCGATAATGCCCACGTCACTGCCAATGGTACCGCCGTGAAATAAAAACCGGGGTATCGCGATTGAAATTCACCACACCATATTTATAGTATCTAGCAACTCTAACAGCTAGAGTTTATCCCCTACGTAACACATTGCCTAATCGGCATACGCCGCGCATTCGCGAGTGTTACTGCAGTATTGACAAATTATACTAGACCGTACATCAGAGACAGTCAAATCAAGTCAAGTCTGGTCTGTACACTTCAAGGGGTTCGGGGGTCCTGGTATTGATCCCTAGAGGATATATAATGAATCAGGGAAGGGAAGGGATGGATTGGTTGGTTGGTTAATTGGTTAGGCGTCTGGGTCTTGGAACTTGTTTATTTGTTTAACCTACCTAAGATACCTATGTGCCCTGGTTTGGTTTAAGTAGTAAATACCTACTTCTTTTTTTTTCATATATACAATACCTTTATTTTGCTTATGGTGCTTGTTTTCTTCTTCGTATATGAGTTAGTAGTATGAGGTAGATAATGGCTTAGGTTAGCTTAGGTTAAGTACCCCCGAGACAAGCATACAAGGTTCGTATCAATGTCGGGATAATAAGTAATGATATATATATATATATATGAGGTATATATGCTTGTCAAGGTAAGGTAAGATAAGATGGTTGATTGATCTGCTTCTGGATTGACAAAAGGAATGGCATATCTACAATGTCGAAGATACACAAACAGCCCGTCTCTCGTCTTGCTCGTCGAGGGTGACCTGCTCTATGACTGATTCCCGCATGCACTTCCCCCCGCTCCTACGCCTCTCACAGTTAATTCATAGTCGGCGATTCCATGTTATAGGGTTCGGCTACGGCTAGGCGCTTAGGTGGTCTTGTCCTTGTTGTGGTAATTGACCTTGTCGTTCCAGCTGTGGTTTTTTATTTTCGAGTTAGCAATTTGTCTTCTTCTTCTTCTTTCCCCTTCCCTCTCTCTTTCCCTCTATCTCTCTCACTCTACTTTCTTCCTCTTCTTTCTTAGACATAAGGAAGATAAACTAGAAAATACGTACAACAGGGTCTTGTCGCCGTCGCCCCAGGGGAAGTTCTTGGTGCGGATGTTCTGGTAGGGGTACTCGACGCGCTCCTCTAGGGGGGGCAGGTGCGACCAGTGCTCCCAATGCTCCTGGTATAGGTTGTAGGCGTTGACGCCGGCGAGGATTAGGGCGGGGATGACGGCGCTGGGGGGTTGAGGTATTTTGTTAGTTACTTTGTTTGGGTTGGTTCTAATGTGTGAATGAACTCGATATCGATGCGGGAGGGTGATGTGTATTAACTCTACGTTGCGATATATATCGGCGGTATGCGTCTCGCTCGAGGGGACGGAATAGATGGAGGGATGGTAGGTGGGATGGATGCATGGATGGGTCTTACTAGATGGAGATCTTGCGCCAGAGCTCTGCGAAGGGTCAGCAATTCAATTCCTAGTATTATTCACTCCTAAGTAATATCGTAGAGCGCCTAGGTTATATGACTCACCAGTGGTAGCAGCAGCGTGCTCCTTGACAGCCTGTCGCTCCTTGATGAAGGCGTTCTCGGTCGAAGCAAAGCGGCGCTGCAGAGCGGAGCGGAATACGGGTGCGGTATTGGCGGCACGTAGCTGGGAAGCTAGGCGCGGCGTCGCGCGGAGGAGCTGTCGCTGGGGAAGCATTGTGGTCGTCTTTTCGCTTATTATATATTCGTTGGTTATTCGTTGTTTAGAGAGGAGAGTGTTGTATGTATGAGGTATGTAGGTTTAGTTGTGGATTTGGTGGTGGTCTGATTTCAATTGTCGAATGAGGTCAGCTTTGATTGGATTAGATCTTTACAAGGTATAAACCCCGGTAAAGCTAAAGAGCTTCTTCGCTCTTCGCCTCGGTAAATCTGCGGGGATACGGCGGATACGTTTTTTTGTGGCTTTCTATGACAGGGGTTTTCAAACATGCTGACATGACGCTAATCACGGGACTTCGGGTCATTTTGGTGTGGCGCAAGTAATGTCCCCCCCGATTAGAACGTCGCGACTTCCAGCGGTATGCACGGTCAATTGAGGTTTTGTGCAACTACCTACACGTAGTAAAAAGTTTACAGACATATTTATTACCTAAGGTAAACATTAATAATAAGGAAAGGACGTTTGATTCTCTTCAATATTCATAAGTGGAAGGAAATGCACCATCACTTGTAACCATCACTTATACTAGAACTTCCTTCCAGCAATTCCGCGGTGAATCCACTTACCGAAACCCACCGTATATTAGGTCCTTAATGTACATATCCCGGAATCTCCTCCAGTCCAGCATAAATCCGACAATGGTAGTAGATTATAAGGGCGAAGTAGACGAGGAATGACCGGGGATGCACCTTAAAAAAATTATCAAAAACTTTGTAAATTCGTGAATGCATCTCTGACATTATGGGCGTACGCATCACTTCCTGGAATGGTTCGTATCGTATTCTACCACATCTCCATCATATATAATCTCACTAACACCGTCTATAGTGAACGGCATTCGGTATGAAACCATATGCTACATATAGAATTTCACTTTTTAACTAATCAAAACAGCAATCCGTTTGGATACCAACCATGGAGGGAAAAGAGGACTTTCGAGGCTATGTTCGATATACTCGATGCGGACATAGTCGTAATGCAGGAGACCAAAATCCAGCGCAAGGACCTCCAGGATGATATGGTCCTAGTGCCTGGCTGGGATGTTTTCTTCAGCTTGCCCAAGCACAAGAAGGGTACGTAAATTACAGCTCATCCAGCTATTTATCCTAACATAGGGGCAGGTTATGCTGGTGTAGCAATCTATACCCGGAACTCAGTATGTATGCCCATCCGGGCAGAAGAAGGGATCACTGGAGTCCTATGTCCACCAAGTTCTTCAACCAAGTTTCGAGACCTCCCCCCGGATCAACAAATAGGGGGTTATCCAAAGCCTGGCCAGCTTGTGGGTCTGATAGACGATCTAACTCTCGACTGTGAAGGCCGATGCGTTATCCTTGAGTTCCCTGCCTTTGTTCTGATTGGAACATACAGCCCAGCTAATAGCGATGGGAGCCGAGATGATTTCAGGCTGGGCTACCTCGACGCATTAGACGTTCGAATCCGTAACCTCGTGGCCATGGGCAAGAGGGTCGTCCTAACAGGCGATCTCAATGTTATCCGAACATCCATGGATACATCCAACCTTTTCGAACGACTAAGGAAAGAGGGCATTTCGGTTGAGGAGTTCTTTTCCACTCCTTCCCGCCACCTTTTCAATCAGCTTATTTTCGAGGGAGACGTGTTAGGCAACAGGGATGAGAATAGGGAGAAGCCGGTGCTGTGGGACCTTGGTCGGCTCTTTCATCCTACTCGCGAGGGCATGTTCACTTGCTGGGACACTAAGAAGAATACTCGTCCCGCCAATGTCGGCAGTAGAATCGATTATGTTCTATGTAGTGACAATATGAAGGACTGGTTTATCGACTCCAATATTCAGGAAGGTCTGATGGGATCTGATCACTGTCCAGTTTTTGCAACCCTCAAGGATGTCGTAAGTATCGACGAGAAAGAGGTACATCTCAGGGACATTATGAATCCTCCGGGAGTTTTTAAGGACGGGGTTCGGCTTAGGGATTGGACAGCAAAAGACCTTTTACCATTATCAGCGAAACTCATTCCTGAATTCGATCGCCGGCGGAGCATCAAGGACATGTTCTCCAAGAAACCGGTACCTTCGAAGTCGGCTCTAGCACCAATCAACGAGCCGTCAGAAAGTCCCAGCAGCAGTTTCGCTAAAATTGAACTATCAAGAGACGAAGAGGCCGCCGAAATACCCACTTCACAACCTGAATCAGTAACTTCAGCGCCTTCTCCAGCTAAACCACGGACCGGTACTCTTAAGCGCACACCCTCAAGCACAGCATCTACCAGCAGACCACAAAAGAAAACAAAAGCCACACTGACCAAAGAACCCTCATCTAAAGGGCAAAGTAGCCTCATGGGCTTTTTCAAGCCCAAAACTACCGCGAGTCCGAGTACAATTCCAGAAATAAACGAAGATACCAAAACGCTTAGTGAGGTTAATAATAATTTCGAGGCCGAAATGTCGAAAGAATCCAATAACAATGAAGAATTAAAAGATGCTATCAGACCATCTAGTCCAGATAGAGTCTTTGATCCTATCGAATCCAAGGAATCTTGGTCCAAGCTGCTAGGTAAAAGAGTCCTGCCGAAATGCGAGCATGGAGAGGACTGCATTAGCGTAGTGACCAAGAAACCCGGTGTTAATCGAGGTAAGTTGATGCTTCATACGTACCTACGTACCTGCCTACCTACATCTAGTTTCCTCCGTCGTAATTATTAACTTGTTTTCCAGGGAGGTCATTCTTCGTCTGTGCCCGGCCCATTGGGCCGTCGGGCGAAAAGGAGAAAGGGACTCAGTGGCGTTGTCCGACGTTTATATGGAGTAGCGACTGGAACGGGTCGTAAAACGGATGAGATGTGATGTGATGTTAGATTATATGGAGCTTATACTTCTATTTTATTTTGACCAGCGTTTATGTTACTTGTGCTATTTTCTTTATTACGGGTGCGTATGTCTGCATGTAATCTCGATGCGTATAGTTGCTTAACTATGTACTTAAGAGACTCATCGGAGAGCCGATTAGTATAAATTAATTATTACCATCTACATACAGAGCTGTGTTAACTTCCTATCTCCCTAACAGTTTCACCCCAGTCATGTACATAGCATTACACTGAACTTCACGTCCGTCCTTTCTTTGCTTCATCACCCGCCCAGGTGTTATCACCTACATGGAGTCTTGGCTGATCGCGGTGTCTGCTTAGCTGGATCTTCACCATTTGTCATAATTATTATTCATTATTGTCAGTAGTGGTTCTATAACATGGTTGTGATCGAAGAAAGATTTGATTGAATAGGTAGTCGTTATTCTTATGGCCCAGCTAATTTTAAAATTGGAAAGCTACCTATCGTCAACGATATTAATGTCCTGTTTTTTTCCCTATGTATCTGGCTATCTGTCTGTGGACGATAGCTTGTCGACATAGCTAATAGGTACCTCGTATTTCTTGAATAGCTCTATGTTTTTGAGGTCCTGGGCGTTTTGCAATGGGGTAAGATTAATCTAGTATGGTCCCCAGGCGAAGCCTTCGAATACTTTGACTTTCGGGATTTCCATCTCGGGTGGCATCTTCGCGTGGTGCGACAACTTTGTCTTCGATAGATAGGTATATATATGAGATAGACAAGCCCTTGTCTTTTTTACTCATACTTTCTCTCCACTCGTCGTTGCGTTCGGCGATGTGTTTAATGGAGGTATTCATCGATATTGATGCGGTCGCTAGGGTTGGATACTATGTATCGGTAGTCTGAATTGAGGCTCCGGTATATCTGTTCCATCTGTTGGACTTTGTCGTTCATACGAAAAGCTTAGCAGCGATATACTCTTCTCGAGGTAGTCTCGGAGATCATATCTTCAAAAACGCCCCAAGATCGCCTGTCCACGATCACCAGAAAGAGCAGATGACCAACGCCGATCACAAAACAATCTACCATCTACCATCTAACTACATCAAGTCTTGAGGTACTTTCCTAATGTATCCAGTACAGTGGACCAAGTGAGACCCACGGACACGGAGTAGAACACCTCGCTTTCAAAATCCCCTCCCATATTATCTTCAAAATCATCCGACGAATATTCTGGGTTTTTCCTCCTGCTGCTCCTGTTTTTTTCCTCTCCTTCTTTTATATTCCCAACTTGTAACTCCAATTTGCGTTGTAAGGGCTTGAAACAAGATCTTTATTAGCCCATTCCTTAGGCATTTCTATCTCAGTCCAGGCAATCTTTTTCGGGATCTAAGGGTGCCCTCTGCATCTCTTCATATTTGATGAATAAGAGCAAGACGCAACCTAAGAGTGCTGCGCTAAAGCTGGTACCCAGCAAAGCCGCGAATAGGGGGGGGTGCCTCAGAAATCGACAAGTAGCCATCGACCGGTTCGTTGTATATATTTGTTTCGTCCGAGACATATCTGAATCGAGTCTTTCAAGAAAAAGATCCTAGAAAATACCCTCTTCCCAAGATATCAATGTCCCCATCGAATTCATCGCTGTTCTCTGGCTTATTCTTCTGCTGGAAACTTTTATGCTTCATCAAGCTCTAACCTCGTGATTGATGCCCATGTTAACTCCAATTTTTTAAATCTTAGATGCCGGTTATTGCCTTGTTGACAAGAGGAAGTTGAGTTGTAGGTTAAGCGTGCTATGCGCAATGAAACATAATGCTAGGGACTCGGTATAATTTTCTGTCACAAACGTTGGGATCCTTTGTTGCTGTTGTGGTTGGACGACCCATACCAGACTGAGCGCATAGAGAGCACTGCTAACTCTGTTGGGAAGCTTTTAAAGGCATCAGAATACTCCTTCGCTGGTACCAATTCCACCAGTCAGCTGCGCGGAACTTTCGCTTTACCACCTCTTTCATAAACGTCTGGAATCGAATGTGAAACCAATAAGCAACTATGTGAAGATTTCCCTGGTTATTACGCCGGGATATCTTAATCTTATCCTCGTTTGAGGCTGTAAGCCACTCGTCGAAATTCGGTAGATGCTTTTGGAGATCCCACCAATGGTAATCTGCGGCCGAGAAGGCAGGAAATAATAACGGGTAGCCCAACTCCAGGCAAAATGATTCCAAATTGACCCGCTAACCCGCCTAAAATGGACGAGCGCCTCGCAGGTTGCCAGTATAACGGGACTCTAGAGTCTAACATTGCTCGGCCCTCGGGAGAACCAGCCTCGAGGGCAGCTCTAAGCTTGCCCGCACGGGGTGCTTGGTCTCCTGCTTGGCTGTCCGTATGGGTTGTCCGTGTAGGTTGTAGCGCACTAGAATAGTCGAACCATGGCCTCGACTCAATCGTCTTTGCAATATTTGATCCACTTGCCATCGCCTTTGCCCTCGCGATAAAGGTTCTCTGCCACCCTGACAAAGTATGTAGGTAGTTTTATAGTTGATTGTCTTTAAGGAGTTGTTCCAATTGAAAAGGATATAGATTAGTCGATGGGTCTCTTAGAATAATATGTACGCTGGTAGTTGGAAATAGAAAGGATTCAGTATTGTTGATTAGGTTAAATATAAGTATAAGAGTTTTGATTTAAGTACTAGTTATTAGATATGTTTAGTTGTAACTTTGGTTGACTGTTTTGTAATTGTTATGAGTTGAGGGAAGAGAAATAATTTTCTTCTTGTCTGAAACGGAATTTTAATATAGTAGCGGTTTGATTGCTTAGTTGCAGTCGCAGCTGCTTGTTGTTAAGACACCTGCCACAACCGGTAGTACGGTCAACAGCAGTGTCAGCTAGAAGTTTCTTTCTATTTAAGTAGGTACTTCTCTAAGGTAGTTTAGGCACCTTAGGTAGTTTAAAAATTGGAAGGTGTTACTGCGTAACTAGATGTTTTGCGATGTATGGTCTATGCTTCAGATAGGGGAGGTACTATGTATATACTTCCACCTAGAATACCGTGTTATTCCAACACAAAGTACTATGCACCTAAAGTATGATGATATGTACCTAATTTTACTTTGGCTTAAAAAGGCTCAGGGTTTTAAGCAGCACCGACTAATTGGTATCTGTTTCATGGTGTCACGAGGGTTAAAGCCAAAAGTCTCGCGCATACCATAACTTGAATGATACCGTGCGAGCTCCTCTATTCGCACATACTTTTATTAGTATTGCATCAGGTATGCAAGAGACTTTCGGCCGTAACCTTTATTATAATTAATAACAGTAAACAGTTATTAAAGTCATTTCCTATAAATTAATCAATAATTTTAATATATCTTTGGTATCAATGTTTATTTATTTTATGCATATTTCAATTCGTAAACACTATTTCGATTTTCCCGATTATTAATTTGCAATATAAAAGTAAAAACACCAAAAACCCCGCATTTCGTTCCCAACTCTTTCTAAAAAGGTGCCTCTCCACCTACATACCTTAGGTACCTACCTAGGTAGCTACCTCTAAAGAAACTATAAATGGCCAACCGAACATCATACTTCTTTTACGCGCCTACGTGGGACTACCCACCCAACGGGCCCATAAGGCTAGGCAATGTGCTCACATCGCTTAAGAAACCTGAGCGACCACTATATACCGCAGCCCCATTTGCCGATGCCCATGTCTTTTCCTCGGAGAAGAGCCAGGTCGAATTCTCGCGCGACAAGCTGAATTCAGGTCAATTTTCTATAGTAACGAAATTTCTAAGTTTTCTTGGAGTAGGGGTAGATGTGGGTGTAAGTTGGGGCTTTAGGTATGGTTAGGTGATTCATTATGCTATATTCATATATTCATATATTCAAAATTGGTCGGTATAATCTATAACTACTATGGTGGATGTTTTAAGTTGTATATGTTATAGAAATAGACTGCTACTGCTACTCTGATATCAAATCTGTAGCGCTAGATGCCTCTTAATTTAGGACTTATACTTCATTATTTCAAGATACTCAATTTCCTACTTTTTATGCGACAGTTCATACGTCATAAGCAAAGCTGACCGTCTTGCTAGGGAGGGAGAGGCATTTAGCTTCGACCGGATTGAGACCACTCAATTCTTCCCGAACAAAGATTATCTCCAACGATGCATTGAAACTGCGCCCGTTCGTCGGTACCTGGATAAATCTCGTTATAAAAAGCCAGTATATATAATCACAGGTATCAAGACCGTCACGGGTGCCAAAGCCAAGTCCTTCAAGTCCCGAGGCGTAGGTGGAGGCCTAGGCACCGAAGTTGATGGCACGGTATGGAGCGGCGGAGCTGTTCCCATCAGCAGCGGGCCAACGATAGAGGTGAATCATGGGAGGAATACGGACATGACCTGGGAAGGTAGTAGTGACTTCGTCTTTGCCTTTCGAGTCCGGAAGGTTCTCGTAGAAAAGAAAACGGGAGTCGTGAGTAAGGATGAGGATTATAAGCGTGGCGCTATGCTGGGGAGAGAGCATAACACACTGGAGGTTCCAGTCCTTTCTATCTCAGAAGAGGAGGATCCAGACTTGGAACAAGAAGGCTTCATCAGGGAAGAGTTGATGGAAGATGGTGTGTCCATCATCTGTGCCGTTCCGTATCCACTGGCAGGTGGAGAGGACGAATAATAGATAAGCCGTGGACGCGGAGGGGAGCCGACGTTTAAACATAGCATCATGCCGGAGATATGGATTTAGTATCAGATGCGGGTGCTCTTATACTCGGCTGGTGGGTATGTACTATCCTCTCGATACCATACCCTCTTTCAACTGATCAAAAGATCTCCAATCGTAAGGTCAATAAACTTCTTATCCTTACCAAACAGACTGTCAGCATACAAGCTAAGATCAATAAAATGGTACCCATCTCGAGCCTTGTAAGATGGACCTTTCTCTGCAACGCGTTGAAGTACAGTTTTCATACGTTTTTGCCGTTTCAGCATATCTGCCTTCTCTGGCAAATGCAGCCGCGCGTATTGTAAGATAAATGCAGCGATGCCGGCGGCTATCGGTGTCGCGTATGATGTCCCGGACTTGTATTTAATACAAGAGGGATTTGAATCGTCGTCGCAGAGATGAACCGGCCATGCCGACTCTACAGCCTCCCCCACTGTTGCTAAGTTGATATCATCAGGAACTGCAGTAGGACTGAACCCAGACCTATTACCATTTGCATCTGTAGAATTAATACAAATCACATTTTGTTCTCGCGCGGGACTGCGGTAGGGTAGTCAGTGTTAGACGATTACAGAGTAACGGAGTGCTTGGGTCTCTTAAGTTCCATTGGGATTCGCTAAGATTTTTGGAAGACACTTACTACGCTCTACCTCGTTGGCCACCGCTGTTCGAAGCAGCAGCAAAAATAAGTACATGTTTTGAGTATGCATTCATAATAGCTAGTTCGAGCTCATCATAACCGTCGATATCGCAGGTAGGGAATCCGAAAGACATGGAGATGACATCGACTTTCCATGTATCGACGGCAAGATTAATGGCCTAAGCGCGTTAATAATTTATATGGCGAATAATTGTTGTTGATATTTACCTTTGCGATAACCCTAGGGTTAGACGGCTTATCCTCCGCAATCTTTGCTACGTACAATTGAGCATCAGGCGCATAATCAAGAAGTAGGCCAAAACCAAATGTGCCATGTCCATTGCGATCATGGACTCTATTCTTGAAATTCTCATTAAGCCAGTTGTACTTGCCTTTGATATTATTGCTGCGAGCTTCTACGTCCGGGTGAGTGAGGTCAATGCCCGTGTCGAGAATCGCAATTTTAACGGGCGGAAATTCCAACGACGAAGCGAAAGGTGTAATGAACTTGTTGTAAACTGCTTGGTACCTGTACTTCCAGTTCAGGTAGTTTGAACATCTAAAAGGTAGTTAGCCCATGTACTAGAGAATAAGAGGAAAGTAACCCATGAGTGGTTGACATACGCTTCGGGAGAGTGCGCCTCCGAAACAGTCTCGTCGTCAAAGAACCTCGATTCCTTGTAATAGACATCCTGATCCGTCAAAGAGGATAGAGATAGACTCTGTGTGAGGTGGGAGTAAGAACCAAGTTTATGAGCCCATAGCAATGCATTTTGATGCTGGAAATTTGTAAGAGGATTGAGATAGTGAGTGTAGTGTTGCAGCGACGGTTCGGGTGACGGGCTGAACGAATAGAGGCTATCTATAGTCTCGCTTGGGCTCAATGCGCGAGTTGGTTGGGTTTGCTCGCTCAGATCCGAGATTGTCTGATCCCAGCTTCCAAAATCCAATGTCTGCGCAAACCGGTCAAGATCATCAATAGATATTGAGCTATAGGCTTGTATTAATTCATTCTCGAGTGGTCGTACTACCTCCTGATATATCCTGGTTCTTAAAATCTTATCGTCTAATCTGTTTCCCTCTTCGTCTTCCCACGTTGTCGGATCCAGACACCTCTCCACGGCGGAATGAAACTGAAAATTCTCGGGGATTTCGTCTCTACAGGCGCGAAATACCATATCTACGTCTAAATACGTTGTACGGCTCGATGGTGCATCTTCTAACTCGACGCCGTACTTCTTAGCTAGCATCTCGAATGGAGTCACGAAATAAACCTCCATAAGCATTGCCGCTAATGTGACAAGGCTTGGGCATTGATGTTGTACTAGATCGTCGGGGTCGATATCATCTGGGTCTATGTCACTGCATTCGTAATCTTCTTGTTCGCATCCCATATTGCTATTGACGCAGTAGTCGACGAGGCTTGAACTTGGTTCTAGATCTGAGAGCCGGGTTTGAATGAAAGGTCTTAAAGGTATTGCGGAAGTAGCGGTACGAAAGAAGATGATATCTGAGGAATTCCAGGTTGGTTTAAGCCACGGCGTGTCGTGGAGATGAAGAACTGCGTAACTAAGAAGTACGGCAAGGATTCGTCTTGTCCTCTCGGTGAATGAACGTGACCCACCCCTGAGGAATTGTTCGAGGGTTACGGCGTCTTTCGTCTTGTCGGCTAAGAATTGGCTCCTCTCCGATTGTAACTTGTATAAATGGCCTCGCGTAACTTTAAATTCTAATCGATGTGCCTTCTTGATCTTTACGATCGGTTCGCATAACCGTTTTACCTTCATCGCTTGGGTCTGTGATTTTTTCCTCTTGGTTTGGGGGTTATGTGCCTCGTCATCGACCGCCCATTGGACGACTGTCTCTTTCATAGTATGAACTCGGGCTTCTTGCCAGTCCTGCTTCATAGACAGGAACATGTCAAAGTCGACATCTTCCTCAGTGTCATCGTCTGAAACAGGTTTTCGATAGGTACCCAAAGAGAGCCTAGCCCCGAAATCATGCGCAGGTGAACATGGGCAGTCCTTACATGCCACAAGTGCTTTGAAGATTGACTTGGCGGCACTCCAGACAGCATAGGATGGTTCGCTGATATTTCTCTGAGGGGCGAAGTCCTCGGCTGTCCATTGTGAAGGATCATCGGGGTATTGTCCTCGGAAGTCCTCTTCCCACAATGCCAGTGCCTCAATAAATTCATTGCGCTCAATTGTAGAGGTACCGAAATTCAAAGAATTCTTAATGAATTGGAGTTTTTTGCCGTCATCAGTTTTCCGTATTTGCTCCCAGCTCTGATTGAATGTGAGTAGCTTCATGTAAGATGAGGTTCCGCAAGTATATTGCCTTAGCAGTTTATGAGATGACAACACTGAGCCAAGATGAGCTAAGATTCGGTCCAGATACTTATCGGCAATTCTAATACCAGCTCTGTGAATGCGATTTGCGTGATCACGTATCATGGCACAGTACGCCGTCAAATCGGCATAAAAGACCTTGAGATCTCCATCGTTTTCACGAAGTCGTAGGGTTTTCGCAATCTCTTGAATCGTTTTGGAAGTGGTTACTAGCAGATTGGTTGTATTAATATCCCCGGGAGTGATAGAAACCGTTGACATCATCTTGCCATTAAACTGGGATGGGATCAGATATCGACCTCCAATGCCTAATAGTTGATTAAGATGTAAATTAAGATGTTAAGATATCCCCGGCCACTAGCGAGTTTAAACATTTCTAGCGAATATGTATGGAATGTGATTTCAGTGATCTAGGTTCATAGCTCCGTATACCTTTGCTACCTATTTATCCATATACATGGCGCTCAAGGTGTATTCCGGATGGTTTCACCAACGGCGAGGATTGTTGTTCGGATCAGTGCCGCATTTTCGGATGTAAGATGAGGGACAAATGTTACATACCACGTGATGGTGTTGCTACATGAATGGCAAGTTCAGCTTACATATTAGCTTACACATTATACCTAATTTATATCTAACATTACCTATACCTACATGTAGCGCCTACCTACATAGGTACCTACCTTGTACATAATATAGATACGACATCGCTTAATGCTTCGTACCTTCTACCATCTTTTAATGAGGGATAAACACGATTCTATTGAGTTACCTGTACACTACCTAGTAGTTACCTACCTACATGTAGGTAGTGGTTACTTCTACCTCTACACTTACAACGCCCCGCTTCGTCATGTTCATTTCGCAACTATTTCACTACCAACTGATCATGGCTATAGATGGATAAAATTCCATTACGTGATTTATTATACGTAACCGTCAACTAGAATGGCGGCGGCGGCGACGGCAACGGCCACTGACGCTGATGTTAATCAGCAACCGCATCCTACAGTAGCTGAAAGCGCCGCATCATGTCTGCACTCTTTCCAGCAATGCGTTCAAAGAGCCGCATCCATCCACCCACGAGAGCTTTCACTTGTAGAAGACCAGCTAGCAAGGTTTTCTGTCTGGACGACTAATATCAGGGTATTTGCACCAGGTCGAGCGGCGTTAGACCATCGCTTACGCGAGGCTCCTGATATTCAAGATGCCGTTATTGGTCTTCTTGATGCGCTAGCTTTCCGCGTCCAGAGCTGTAAGCCGGAATTTTCATAAATTTTAGCGTTTTGAAAACCCATCTTCCTTTTCATGCCCCATTGATGAGAATAAATGTGGACATCTCATATTCCAATGGCGGGAACCTCTTCGGTGGCTGAAAGCGAATAGCTACTCTAGACTCACCTTAATAGAAGGCCCCTGGTATTTCTTTGAGTATAGTCTTGGTCAATACACTACGACTACACGCACTATAAGAATGAAAAACTAAATATGTATAGGTTGGAATAATCTTGAGCCCCTTAGTTCTGGGGTAGCTCAAGAGTCTAGTCAGCCCTTAATAGAGGTCGACCCTAAGTTCCGGAAATCAATCCAAGAAATTGCCAATGAAATAAGTTTACTCCATAGATTTTCAAACACCATTCGTAGAGCAAGCAAAGCAGCCCAGAACCTCAAAGCAGAAGACTCATTTCGAATCCGCGATGACGAGGGGAACGACGCCGAGGACTTTATAACGAAGTTGTTCGTTAACCACATTCGAGACAATTTTCCAGGGGTTGGCGACAATATTTGTCAACGTCTCGCAGAAACTATGGTACTACGACGGAAACGGATTCTTTATAGGAGATCTCGTTACGGAGATACTCCCATTAGACTCCAAGAGACTCCCTCTCAGCCTCAGGTCACTGTACCCAAAGTCCAACTCAAGATTCGTGGGGCAGAGCAGCCACAAGCATCCGAGGGACCTCAAGCCGCCAGGGGTGCATCAAAAAGCGCCATACAATCCGTAGCGCAGAGTGCCACCACATTGGCCCCTGGTAACTTTCAAAAGGCATCAGCTCCGTCCGTTGTTTCTGTGTCAAAGACTGTAGCGTTAAGTAATCACGAAGAACTTATATTTCCTCCAGCTCCACTCGGCAGTTTAAAACGGAAATATAATGAAATTAGAAGACAACGAGACGAAATTGATAAACCCAATCTCGATTCCCCAAATAGCGGAGATAAACTGAAGTCTCTTAATTCACGATGGAAAGAGAAAACCAAAGAATTAGAAGAAATTATAAAGGCTGTAGGGGAGGTAACCTGTCCGTTCTGCTTTTATGCCCTTCCAGCAGAGGACGTGATAGATGATAACAAATGGAGGTTAGTTATCATTATTATGAAGTGAACTATACCTGATTAAAGATTGCTACGATACTACCTACCTAAGGCAGGTAAGGTAGGTTAGGTACGTATGGCTATAACTAACGCTAACATTCACTCTGTAGGCTACACGTAAAAAACGACCTCGACGCGTATGTATGTCTGTTCGAGGACTGCAGCTTACCTCACGAATTATACGTGCACAGCAGCGCCTGGCTTAAACATATGCGCGAACATGCTATGCGTTGGCGTTGTACATCGAAGTCTCATGGGCACCTGTTTGTATGCGAGTCTAGAGACGACTATCTCACACACATGAAGACCATGCACAAAGGCAAATTCTCCGACGCCCAACTTCAAGCTTTAGCCGATAGAAATGGTCGGGTTATTGGCCCTCTATTTAGATCTTGTCCGCTATGTGGAAAGGAAGAGGTCGACAGCACCATGGATAATCATATCGTTGGTCATCTACGGTTTCTTGCTCTGAAGTCTTTGCCTACATACGAAGAGGAAGGGCTGGAAGACGAGGGAAGCCAAAAAGGCGGCTCGAGTGCTTCAAGAGCACAAAGTAGGAGGAGCACAGTCGAGAGCGAACTCGAGAGACGTAGTTTAGGAACACTCGAAGATATTGGCGAGGTCAATGGCGAAAGTTGGCGTTCCTTTCTATGGGGCGCCCCGAAACTTCGGAGCAAATACGCGCCCTATGGAGGGTTTCATTCTTACATATCTGAGTACCATACTCTATATGCCGAGGAAGATTCGATAAGCAAGGCTTCGCCCGATGACAACGCATCTCCTACGAGATTTCTTCCCCCGCCTGACGATGAAAAACTTCTGTCCAACCATTCCGCCGATCCCTCTTTAGAATTTGTCGAAGGGTCCTTATTTGACGGAGTACCGGATACAGAGCGACTGGAGTTCGAATGGGGGTTTATTCCTAACCAACACGGAGCATTCGGGAGTCTCAAAGATGACCCCATTCTTCAAAAGTTTCTTGTCAAGTATGATCATAGGACAATCGGTGAATCTTTCTCAGGGCCTAATATTTTACCGATGAACCCTTCGGATACGCCAAACGAAACCAAGGGGCTCCCGGCCAGCGCTTTCAGCGGCTTTACTTTTCCCCCTACCTACACCGGGCCTCCCGAATTTCATCATTTTAGTAGTTCTCCGATTACTGCGGACCCGGACAATTTAACGAGCTATCTAGATTTTCCTAGTAATGACGATGGACCATGGTTTCCCTTATTCCCTCAAGATGATACTATCGCCAACCAGGACAATGCTACTAGTAATGACCACAGGAATCCTCGGACAGTAAAGTACGTTAAGTCATTTACGCCTGAAGATGTCGTTTATAAAGACATTGCGGAATGGGAACGAATTGCATTCTCTGAATTGAACGTGGTTATCGACCAAGATAGCATTACCCCTCAACAGGCAGTTGATGATCCAGACGGCCAACATCGGTGGCCATCACCACCTCCTCCCATAAGGAAGCCGTTTAATAGAGAATCAACATCGTGGGTGGAGGAACCGAAGCCAGATGTAAATGACGCAAAGGGGAAAACCGAAACTAAGAACAAATCTGAGATATCTATAATACTATCGAAACTACTCGATTCATCGCGCTCGAAGACTAAGTTGAACGATAAAGAGGGAAACGTTCATAAAGTGTACTCAAGAATCAAGGATCACACGGGGAAATCCAAAGGCATACCGCAAACTACGAGCAATGAAAACGAGTCAAATACTATCAATAACGAGATAATTCGGATCAGCAATCGATTATCAAACGTCACATGGGACGTGATTGATATGGAAAATCTAATGTTAGATGCTACGATATCCGAATCTTTGAGGGTTCACGGCAAGTATATCCCCATAAAATTCACAATCCATATTCCGCGAGGATATCCAGAAACTAGCTCACTGCAGTTATATATTAAAAAGACTCCAGGAATGACTGATGAGATCTGTGAATACTTGGACAAAAGAATCCATAATCTACGTAATAGCTTAGACGCAGTATTTACGTTCTTATCTAGTGGAATTGATGTGGGAACGAATATAAGGGAGGATAGCAATGAGGACCAACAGGAGAAGGATAATAAGGCTCTACAAACACCAGTGTCATTCACCGCGAGTAGGGAGAAAACGCCGGGGAGTAACTACGACAAGTTGGGAAATATAGGAGGAACGTACTCACAGGAGCACAAACCTCGCAAATCTATTATAAGGATGGATCCGGATTGTGCAATATGCCATGCACCAGCAAGCCTCGCATGTGATTGCGAGGCTAAGGCCTTGGAAATAGCCGTTAAGCAAGCAGAATCTAGGATAATGTCTCCGATGTACAACGACATACGATATTGGGTTCGTAGTCACGCTCAAGATTGTGTACAAGAGAGCTTCTCGAGAAACATGCACGAACGTCAAAAAACCGCTGCGAAGAAGTATAATGAACAAGGAAGTACGAGGGAGGTGGTAGAAGGTCACACACCGCCAATAAAGGAGCAAGTCAACTCTAGTTGGAGTTCTGCTGTCCAATCGTTTCCTGAGACACTCGAGTACTTTTATAGCCTCGTCGAAGTGACGCTTCCTAGTGACGATGATCCCGCTGTAAAGGATCCGCCACTTAGTGCGTTATCAGGATCAAGAAAACCTTCTCGACGAACACATCTACAGTCTCCGCTTGAACTTACTGAAGCGGAAACATCGAAACAGGGGGAAGCTAAGAAACCTGAGCAGGAGGCGAAGGCTTATTTGCCTGCTCAACTTGAGCGTCACCAGACATACAACCCTAACCCTAACCTCAAATTCGAAGAACGACCGACACCGTCGACGTAGTGAAGCAGTTAAGAAAGGCCCGTTCTTAAGGAAATTACCTATAACTTATAGGAGGCCTGGACATAGCGGAATCAGGCCCATGAGTCAATGAAGTATAACACTGCTTCCAAGATGACGAAGTATGGATCATGTCTAGAAGCATTACATATAGGGGCATAAAACTAACAAGTGTACATAAATATATCAGGGGGCTACTATCAATATACACTCATCTAATATTGAAATATAGATATCTAAAGCACACTTCTATTACTCAAGAGTCCTATAATATACCATTCGGCGGTATTATTATATTCCTCTCGTAACTGCTCCTACTTCTACGTCAACTTCTACATCAACTACCCTTACTTCTCCACTCTAACATCACCCCCTATCCCATCCTTTATCCCTCCATATTAACAACATACTTACACACTACCATTAATCACTTAGTCACACCCCCCTCTCACAAAATTAAATCTTCAAAATTAGTAGTTAAAATTCAACCGCCAGTGATCAAATTACCTAGGTTAAGCTAACTAGATCGCAACCCGCTGGCCAGCCAACCAGCCTGCCTTAGGGGTAGCAATTTTGTACAAAGTCCACAACCGATCTGCCATCTTTCGAATATGCTACATCATCCAGCCTGCTTCCAAGACGAAAAAGAAGAAGAAGAAAAAAATCACTCGTCAAACGCAGCAGCAAAGATAATCTGGCCAACGACTAACAACTAACAACTAACAGGGGTATAACCTCTCCTCCCCTCCTCACTTCTGTCTGCTTCTGTCTTCGTATTTGCTTTAATCCTCTTGGTATGAGATCTTGCGCATCTCGCCTAACCGGTGTCGCGCGGAAGCCAACGCGTTCTCGAGCTGTAGAATCTCGACCTATAATTTCGTCTGTGATTAGCCGCCGCACACTAGATACGCGTATAGTTATTATTAAAACTCACCTGCTGCTCCATCTCCCGAACCTTGAACTCGTGCGGGTTGAGCTTGGCATAATCGACTCCCTCGTCCTCTTGGTTTCGGTCCTTGATCATGGCCTGTACTTGTCGCACAAGTGCTCTGCAAGCCGCGCCTACCGCCTTGCTGGCCTGCTCGAGGCTCTCCTGGCTCTTGCTCATGAAGCCAGCCTTGACACGACTGGCGGCCACAAGCTGAGCTGTCGAGGCGGCCACATCGTTCGAAGCAACGATAAGCTGCTCGGGACTGTTGCGACCAGATAGCACACCATCTGCTGTCTCAATGAGCGTATTAGTCGACGTAGCCACAGCCTTCGCGGCTGAAATGAGACCCTCCGTCCATCGGTTGTTCTTCTTGTAGAACGCTGTTCTCGAGGAACTTCCCCGACCTGCTTGGACGATCTCTTGCTGTGTAACGGTAGCAGCCTTGATTAGCTGAGCAATAGCATTGGTGACCGCCGTCGCAGCATCGAGTATCGAGTCGTGAACCTTGAGTTCGTAGGTCGAGTATCCGTCTCGGGGTTTATTCTTGAGTTTAGCAAGGCGTGCAGCCGCTGCAGCAATGGCATCGGCCGCCTTGCTTAGTTCTGAGTCGACAAGGTCGCCTAGATCGCCCTTGTTGTTTGCTAGTCGACCGGAAGGAGCAAAGGTCTCAACTAGGGTAGTCAACCTCTGTAGATTCAGACGAACATCGCTGCTACCATTCACAAGAACGTCAGTCTTTTGTAGAGGATCCATGCCTTCTAGCCTGAAGCTTTGAAGGCTACGGAAATGTTTGACAGTAGACTGGGCGGCAGCACGAGCGCCATTGAGAAGCTGATCAGACTTCTTTTCGTCGGAAGCAAGACGGTTCAGACCCTTTGTATTGCTACATACATCTGCTATAGCCCCTGCAAAGACGTTGGTCGCCTTGATTAATTCCGCATGAGTAGCATTAGGACCGTCGGCGATGAAGTTGCTAAAAGTGGTAGCAAATTCTGAAGCGCTCGCTACAGCCTTTTCGACCTGGGATAGCACATATGTTGGCGAAGCGTTTTGGTTACCAGCCTGCATTGTTGAGTCTAGTTCGTAGAGCGCGTCATCTACTCGGACTACACCTGCTTGTAGTACCGAGTCGATAATGTCGTTGATCTTGTCAAGGTTCGCCAATATTAGAGCATCGATCTGGCCGTCGAGGGCATTGTCTGTGTCGCCCTGGTGGAGCTTAAGCTCATTCAACTCAATAAGAGTCTGGTCCATGCCAGCCTTGTAGACCTCAAGCTCTTCCTCCTTTTCGCGGAGCAATTGCTCGAGGTCTGAGCTACCGTCTTGTAGCTTAGCCTGTGCTTCTTCTAGGGCACGCGACTTGGTTCGTAGAGCTTCTTCCAAGTCTGCCATCTCTCTATTGTATTTAGAGAGCATAGTAGACAGCTCGTTGCCTTTGCTTCGCTCGAGGTTGTCAGCCCTGTCATTTGCCATACGAAGTTCTCGCTTCAGCTTTTCGACTTCGTCCTTGTTGCTACCATTCAACCTATCTTTGTCATGAAGTGCTCGGTCTCGCTCCCGAATCATATCTGCCAATTCTAGGTTCTTCGTCTTGATTTCACGCTCTAGCTTCTCGCGCCTCTCGATAGCTTCTTGGGCCGACGCCGCTTTTAGTTGGACTGTCTTGAATTTCTGAAGTAGATCGAGATGCTCATGGCGTAGCTGCGAGTACAGCTTCGCTAAGGCCTCGTACTTGGTTCGCCATGTGTTGACCTGCTCTTGTAGGGCGCGGATTTGGTCATCCTTGCTGTTAACCTGTTGACCAAAGTTGTTCTGGATTTGGGCTAGCTCCCCTTCAAGTGCCTTCACTCGTTGGTCGTATTGTTGCAGCATTAACTGATCACGCTCATATTGCGCCCTCGCATTTAGGTTTTCTTGCTCAAGTTCGGCCAGCCTCCCTTGTGTCTGCCATTGGGCTTGTTGAGCTATTAGTGCTTCTTGTTCCCTACGTTGTTGCTCTGCTAGAAGTCTTTGCTGCTCCTCGAAGTCTCGCTGAGCCTGCATTTGCGCATCTTGCTGAGCACGAAGAGCTGCTGCTTGACGCTCTTGTAATACCCTTTGCTGTTCCTCGTACTCCTTGTTTTGCCGATCAATCTCACCCTGCCAGAACTCGGCAATCTCGTCGGGTTCCTCGGACTTCGGCTGGCGTACAGGGGTCGGTTGACGCTCGATCTCTTGCTTTGGGCGGGCTGGTAATGCAGGGGCATTTTCGTCTTCTGCTAATAAATTGGGTGGGTCTTGCGGTAGTTTCGGGATCGTAATTAAACTGGTCAAGTAACGCAAGTTCGAGCATTCGTAATAGAACTTGACTAATCGGTAGTGTTGCGCATCGTAACGCTGCCTCAGGGGTTCCAATGCGTCGTTATCACCCGTTGCTAAGTATTGTTAGTTAAGAATACCACTAGTATTTTGTAGTTGCCATACTTGAATGCATAGCTCTTAGCATGCTTGTGATGAATTTGTAAATCCCATAACTTTCTTGTACCAGAGGGACAATGGCGGAAATTCTACACTCATTGTTGCCAACATTTCGGAAATGTGAGAAGATCAGCTTCTGAAACTGCTCAATCTTGTCCTGGAGCGACATAAGGTCGGTAATAGTCTCGTAGCCTTCATTGGGATCATTAATCGCCTTCAAGCTGACATATTCCTCATATTCGAACGTGCCGTTGAACTCGGGGTGTTGTTGGTGGAATGATAGTTTCGCTAGGAGGAAGTAGACGTATTCTCGAATTAGGGGTCCATATCCTCGAACGCCCTCGCCGGCTAGACCTCTATTAAGACTATCAATCCAAGGTCGATTTGCCATAGCCTCCCTCAACGTTTGAGGGTGTCCTTCCTGCAAGACTCTATGGATAGTGATTAGGGCCTTGAACGTTTGCACTTCGTCGGCAAGAATAGGCTGCCTAGATACATTCCTGGTCAGCTTCCACTTATATACGCTGGTCTCTAGCCACGTACACTTTCATACCAGCCCAGAAGGACTGGGAGGACTTGTGGTCCCATGTATAGACGATGGCGCTTCGTACATGCTTTCGTTTCGGCGCTGTCTCTTCCGGGCTTGTAGCTTTTCTAATGTTGATAGCGAGTTCCGCTTCGGATCTATACTCTAGGTGATTAGCAGCTACACAACAACCGACGGTGAAATCCATGCTCATGGTTAAGATAAGGGCGAATGTTTAATCCACATGCGCTTCGCGAAAAGGGAGTATCGAAAAAGGGGAAAATACGCACTTTGAATGATCAAGACTACGGATTGTAGCCATGGTGAATGAGTCACTGTGTTTGTTGTTTGCTCTTCGTCCTCTGTTACTGATGAATACTTTGTTCTCACGGCTTTAGGCAGGTGAATAAGGAGTTGGGATGAAGCTTTAGACTTAAGTGACAGCCACTCTTAAGCAAAGCGCATCCCACCCACCCGGTCTTCAGGAGGTATAATATAATATAGAGAACGAATGTCGCGTATGTGGTTGAATTAGGGACTCAGTACGTTTGATATACTAAATGTTCAAAAATTTCGATACCTGACTCGTGTAATGTCAACGTCCTCACAATCGCAACTCCCACAAGCAGCAAAACTCTGCGGAGTTAAAAGCCAAAAGATCAATTAGAGGCTGACGCAACTTAGGCTCTTGGAAGCTGTAGAAGCTGTCTTGGAACCATTCGATAAGCATTAAAAGGGACATGGGTCTTAAACTCTCCACTCCCCTATCGTTTACCATCCGTGGTTTATCCGATCATATACTTGTGGGGTATTAACCTTTGATCGCCACATAACGCGCGGCGAGTGCGGCTGGGCATTTGACAGGCAGCAATTAAAAGTCTTACGGTTTAGTTGAATATTAAACTCTCTTAGATAAGCCTCCTAGATATAGCAATCTCGCCTCCAAATAATGCATCTAAGAGCTTTTCAGTGACGAAAGCTTCAACTTATTACTAACTAGTTAAGTAATTCCTAACTTAGCACAGCTCCAACCTCGATAACTTCGTTCCAGACATACAGATTCTAAATCCCTGCTACTGATGTCAAAGCTGATGTCCGAGCCTTTTGGCTCATCTTATTCCCCTAATTAATTCTAAAATTACTTTGCGCATCTCATATCACAATGCGCGCCACAACGGCTTGTCTGAGCAAGGGTTTCCTGGGCCGCAGTATTGACGAGTTCAAGCGCCTCTCAAATATAGGTATGTTATTATACAATTTATAGTTGCATAAAACTACCTATTCCATACTCATATTAATATTTTATAGCATTAAAGCTCGAAGGCATAAAAGGTCCCTCGGGTCCACTTCCCCTCCATGACTTCCATAAGCCCGATTCCCTCGAGGAGTGCAAGCTGATGTCCGACGTCGACATCGGCGGTTTCTCTAAGGCAGCGCTAGATTGGATACCCCCTTCTCCTAAGGACAACTCCCACGGCTATGCGCGCTTCCACGGCAGCATATCAACTGCCCTCCCTCCCCACAGACCCGAGGTCCAACGATCCGGCTACGCCGCATGGCGAACCCTCGATAAGCCCCCGACCATCTTCGGTCGCGCGCTCTGGAACATCGACATGTATGCGTACCTAGGCATGCGCATCAAGTCTGACGGGCGAAGCTACTTCGTCAACGTGCAGACGGAGTCAATTGTACCTACAGACTTGCACCAGCACCGGTTATTTGCTAAACGGCCTGGGGAGTGGGAGACGGTTATAATCAAGTGGAACGATTTTGTGCGAACGAACCACGGGTTCGTAGTTGAGCCGCAGACGGAGATTCTACGGCAGAAAGTTAAGTCGATAGGTGTTGGCTTGACAGACCGAGTGCCGGGACCGTTTGAGCTATGCATTGAGAGGATGTGGGCTACCAACGATATGAGCGAAGGAGACGAGCATATAGAGCCGTCTATTAACAAAGAAGGGCAGCTTAAGGATAAGCAGGGGCGGCATATCAACTGGGCCGATAAATAATCTGCGAATATGTTGGATAATCAGAACGTCGGACGAATAGCTATATCTTAGCTAGGTGTTACAATTACCAGCACCGTTCTATACAATACAGGGCACGACAGTACTATCGCCATTACATATGGGTTAAAACTAACGAATACGAATATCGTTGAACGCAGAAGGATCATGTTCGAAAATGTATGTTTTGCGACTGGCACCAAAAGGGGGACGAAGAGACGGAGGTTAGCCTAGCCGTACGCATGTATAAACCTAAGAAAATAACCCTCTTACCATACCATTATTCGAAGCTCAGTAATGACAATTGATTTGTAATCTAGAAAGAAACTGTACGATTTTTGCCTAGGTACTTATCGATCAAAGGCCAGCAGAATTCATATCCTAAACAAGCGAATTGTGTAGCATCATTGTTCGAATAGTAAGATGACTTTATAATAGCTTCAAAGGGCGAACAGCCAGATTCTACTTGCCAAGGCATAGGGAGTATCCAGTCATATATTCCTATCCTCTCCGGATCATCATCTTCTCTTATTACGAATAGTCTCGTAGTACATTCTACAACACAAACAAAGGATAGCAAGCTATGTACTATAAATATACGTATATGTATCATTGAGGTGGAAACAAGACAGCATCATCATCATCATCAGATCCACCAAAGCCAAACTCGCACATCACCTAGTTACTCTAAAGTCAACACCCACCACACCACCAACACATCTCCCACCCACCCAACATGTGCAAGCAAGTCTGGACAGTAGCATGGTGCCTCCACGGACACCACCACATCGGCCACGCCCAACGAAGGCCCATCTCGTGCGACCAAGTCAAAAGAAAGGGGCATCCAACAGGGTGCTGTAAGAACGGCACCCTAGGCTCGGACGACACAGTAAGAACACCTCAGATCCCGGTATGCAGTAATTGCTGGAGCACGAGCAACGCGGTTACTCCCCAACCTCCCCAACCAAAACTCAGCCATGAGCCTATAAAAAGGAAAAGAAAATAGGGAAGAATAGGTATCTATCCCATGCATTTTACCTTAACCCTAACTTACATAGTAAGACCATGTCCCGTTTCAATTTCAAGCTAAGATAGGTATGATTAAAGGAATAGTTAGAAGGTAAATAAAGCTAAAAATCATAATATCTTTGAAAAAGAAAGAGGCATATTTCGATAGAGGCCGTATTGTTGAAAACCTCTCTCCTTGTATAAAAGCCAATAAGCAAAGGTTATTTTGAAAATTAGCAATTCTAGATGTTTTCTTCCTTTGAGAGCCAAGAAAGACATTAATAGTAGGTTTTGTAGCGCGCCGGCAACCTTAGCCCCTTTCAGCCTTAATTGAATTTTGGGTATTTTTAAAAAGTCTCTTTCCCCCTATTTCTTGGACAGTAGCTTTCTATTACTTATATCGAGGTCATATAAATTGGAAATATTTTAATCATTATAAAGTAGCTAACCTATGTGTTCCTTCATATCGTAATCCGCTCAGCGTCTTTGCGTATCGCCAAGTATGCTGCCGCGTAATCATTCGCAAGAACGTTATCCCCAGAGACCTTCATAATCGTGGCTTTCTTAGCCATCATCTCGCACTGTTTATCTATATCTTCGACGCTCGAGTAATGATTAAATGCTTTTTCGATTGCCTCCAATGCCTTTGTCATGAATTCTCTTCTCTTGATAGACTTTGGCGGCATCTTGCCTGCCATACCCATATTAGCATCGCCAAGATGCGAGTAAAGTTTTGCAGTCATTGTGGCATTCTCACACTCGAAAATGCGCGGTAGGATTGCATTTAGGAGCTGAATAGCTGGCTCGAACTCTCCAAGCGATGTTAATATATTCGCAATAGCCCCTATTGCTGGCCATAGATAGGGGATGAGACGGGCTCGCCAAGCCACATTCGCTGCCCGCACAGCAATGGTGAACCCTTTCTGCGGCCGGCCACACTTATCAAGAAGTTCAGCTTTGATAAGGAGTAATCGAACCCGCAGTGCGATATCTTTGTTCTCGTCTCGAAGTTCCAAAATCATTTTCTCTACTTTTGAAAAAGCTTGGTCGAGATTGCCTCTACGAATAAGGCATTCGATATGAAGGCTGTCAATTACAAAGGCAAGGTCGGGTTCTAGATCATCGTCCTTAGACTGAAGAAGTTGGGAGAGTAACAGTTCCGCTCCATCGAGATTATTTCGATGAAGATCTCTTCTCAACTTTATTATACCACGGAACTTGTGCCAGTATTGACTCGGCTTCCAAGCTCGGAGTGAATTTGCATCCATACCTTCTAACATCCCAAGCGCTTCGTCATACTTACCCCTAAGAGTAAGCATTGAAGCCTGGCGGCTCGTTACCTTTAGCTCGTCGTCAAAAATCGAATTACGAGCATGGCAACGAATAAATATTTCGCAGGCAGTTACTGACAGATAGGCGATTCCTAATCTGTCCCACAATGCTATATTGATCGATAGTTGAGAACCGACCATGTTCATCATATTGCGTTCGACTAGAATTTGGGAGCTTCTGACGAGATGCTCGATCGCCGTGGCTACGCTTTCGCCATTCGAAAGGCTCATCTTTGCCTCGCTCATAAGTGTAGAACTCCACAACGTCCACATGCCTGTCTCCTTCGCCCTGCTTCTAAGAAAAGCTAGGGACTCCTTGCCAGTGCCAAGCATGCTACTCGACTCCAACTCCTTAGTTATTCCGGGATGTGCTCTGCCAAAGTGAAAAAGCCAGTTAAGGGCGAAATTTAGACATGTCATATCTCGGTTCTCCCTGGCAGTAGAGACAGTCTCTAGCATCGCTGAAATTGCTTCCTTGTAGCACCCAAAGTCAGCTTGGAGTACTGCTAGATTCATCAGCGCGTACTGATAGAAAGACCTGTCCCTGTTCTGCATCGTGTAGTCAAAATATCGATGGAGATAATCGAAGGAGGTAGAGTAGTCCCCTGCTCTCCATGCATCTAAATAGCTTAAGTAGTGAGATAGGCTTGGTATCATAAAGCTGTCGTTTAATAGATCATGAAATTGGTGTTGTATCTCTAAGGGTACTCGGTTGCCGTATTTTTGCATCTGCTCGATCTGGAACTCCAAAAGCTTCTCGATATCGTCAGTGCTAACAGGTAAAGTCGAATTTGGATCATCTCTAAGCATATCCCCGTAAGTCACAGAGGCAATGGTCTCGACCCCCGAGCCCCAGTCATTCTCCCCGGTTAAGAGGACATTATCGAAACTAAGCCTCTGGAAAGACGGCGTCTTTTTCCTGTAATATGTCGCTGTAACCTGGCGATATTTAACAAAGCCCTTCCACAACTCGAATGCGTCGTGGAAACGTAATCTTGTGAATTCGAGCTGAGATCTTCGTACGAATGCACCGAACGGTGAGTTACGAGAGAGCAATATGGCTTCAGGAGCTGGGGCTGGAATGCCTAACTCAGCGTCACGACGCAGTTCATCCCTGGTCTTTGCTAACAGATCTGAGCAGTGGTCGAAGAATTCATGTAATGAATCAAGCGAGTCGATCTTCCAAAGCCTGTCTAGGAAGACGTACCATAGGCTCCGGCCAGGCATGCCAGAAGCAACGGTATGTGGTGCTAAGACTTTCTCAAAGTCTGCAATGGAGATAACTAGGCTAACAGTAGTTTCAGCTCGTTTCCACCGGCCCTTAGGGGTATAAAACGAAGTTTGAGCATCACTGTCGATCAAGTGAGAAGTTATGAAGGACAGCACATCTACGATGGAATCTGTAGGGACTGTCTTTTTTGTATACAATTCGATCAGCGCAAGGAGGCCAATTTTGGCCGGGTTGAGAAAGCGAGACATGGTGTCGTTATTTGTTATAAGGCCTCAGCGAAAACAGAACGTCCGAGTATTTGTTATCTCGGGTTTGTCGTTATAAGTTTGGTTGCTGTAGGTATTTTCCGTCTACAAACGGCCATCACTTGTAGGGCTGATCTCATGAAGCAAGTGCTAGTTTTTTTGTAAGCCCGATAGTTTCGAGGAAGTTAACTGTCGCTAAGTTAGTACATAAGGACTATAGCGGATCAACTTAGATAAGATCAAGTATGTGCCTTCCATTATTTTTATTTCGTCTCATGTAAAGAAGGTCGTTTCCTATGAACAGTCGCGTTGAACGTTGACCCGTGTCGAGCCGCCCCACCTCTTTCTGTGGATATCCATCTAACATATATATGCATTTATTAAATGAGAATATCATTGTCTTGCATTAGGTAACACGGGCAGTTCGAAGTTCCATAAATTCAAACTTTTGTAAAACTGAATCGTACTAATAAGCAACCTCCAGAAATGAGTGCATTAAATAAGGCATATACAAATGAAAAGCAATGTTTAAGAAGGAAGTAGACATATTGAATCCCACATAATTAAAAGAGCTGTCAAGAAATATTATAGGTTAGGAAAGACATCTTGGTAAGAGTAAGAGATATTAGCCTTATCAAGACAAAATATGGTCAATATAAATACGACAGGGGCCTCGCTACCGTCTTGCTGGTAACTATACGAAGCGCGCGGTTTACTACTCTGACAAACGATTAGCAAATACGCGTACATGTAGTATTCGGCTCCGTAACCACGAGGATATGTATAATTGACACATTCAGCTGCATGTCATGACTTATGTCCCCTTTTACGGCTTCAGCCTCACTGTCACTATTCAAGTCTACTGTTGAACCATAAATGAGTGTCCCTAGATATTGCCGTCTGTAGTGTGAGTCATGTGCTCTGTAAGATGCACGGGATACGCAGCTTTAATAAGTCACTGTACTTTCAAACCTGCGTTCATCCGTCGGCAGATAATAGCCCGGGCTGAGCATCGTATCACCATGCTTGTTGATAAGAAGAAGCCTTTGACACATACACGGCATGTGTTGGCTACCTACGCTCTGCATATTTAGTAGGTCATACGACAGTCTCCCTATTACCTGTGAACAGGTAGAATTGTAGATGGAAGCTATGCATTTGCTGTTCTGTGATATGTTCTCGTCTCAGAATATTCTAGGTACCTACCTAGGTAGATATTGGTGGCTGGCCACAGATGTTTATATGTCATTCAGAGTCAAATTAAAAGCAATAAATGATAGGTTCGTAGAAAGTTGAATCTAGAAGGTGGTACGATCATCACCCAACTACCTCAAAAAGGAGAACGATGCCCCGAGTCATCGACTAGGACATTTATGAATCGGAGGAATAATGTGTCTAGGTGCAGGCCGAGGACAAACGGAAGAAACAATGTTTCAATTTACAACACGTTCTCGTGAGTACGGAGGCACACTTTAAATTCGCAATAGATACGAGGTTGCTGATGTCATGTACAATCTGGGTAAATCACTGAAAAAAGCAGTAATATCTTCTCTTATTGGTGAATTGATCAAGCCAAGTTCAGCCTAACCTTGCTTGAATTAGCGTTAGTGAGGGGCCGATAAGGGGGCCCTCCAGCCCCTCTAACCCCTGAAGTCGTGCTTTTTCAGCAGGTCAGGGCCCTCTTAGGCCTCCTTAAGCAAACATCCGACCAATTAAATAATTTGTTTCGTTGACTGCTAGGTTACACTGGGACCATCCGGTGTACTCTAGTAAGCCAAGCTTAAAAACCCCTGGACCTATCAGATCCGGTTAGAATCCCTGCACCTGAAATTTTTCGGGTAAGTGGAGAGTAGGGCGGAGCGTCAAGCGCTTGTGGGCGAATCATTGAGTTCGTATCACGGCAACTAGGAACCGCGAATATAGTCACTTAGCCAGTTCTCCAACCGGTGTTTGAAATATCATAGAATTCGACACCAGCACTTGACAAACTTGTATACGTGGAGAAATAAAGAAGGTAACTTCTAAGTTTCTACCATTCTGGGTTGACAGTTGTATGATTCTAGCGTGGTTTTAAGGCTTTTAACTAATTATGATGACAAAGAGCCATGGCGCAAATTGTGAAAATCATTCCAGGTCAGGGATGAAGTCGGGGAAGGCCGGTGACGACGAATCTTGCATAAACTTGATAATCTTCCCTCAGTGATCGTCGTGTGTGTTCCCAGTATTTTTGTTCTATTATTGAATGAGTCCCGACCTCAGCAGTTTCCTTTTAGGTGATATATCGGTGGCTGTAGTTATTGACAACCGGCCCCAAGTGCGAACCTTAGCTCACCTTAGCTCACCTAATCATTTTTATCATTTATCGTTCATTGTAATAAACCAAGTTCTAAGGTAGGCACTTCCTCATAACTTAATCTTTACAACTTCACTTTCACAACTTCTACATTAGGTAGTTACCTAACACCTTCTTTTTTTTCTATCACAATCTTTCAGAATTACTTCTAGAAGGAGGCTGTGCATGCCTAATTTTGACTTCTAATTTCCTACCTGACCCTGCTTCATTACATTCACTTACTCTCTTCCCCAGACATTTTTACCGGAAACAAACCCACATTGCTAAACACACCACCAAATTAGTTCATCTACCGAATTATCACCATCTCTCTAACTGGGTAGGCAATATATCACGAAGATAATATTGCCAACTATTACCCCACACCCTCCCTACTTGGAATATATCAACTTCTCGGCTAACGGCCTGAAATTCCGTTTGCCAAGGTTAGCCTTACGGCGACAAAGGGAACAAGACTGCCGCCACACGCCATACCTGCTTGTTCTTCCAACCATAGCTTTGTTTATATCGATTTCCTAGTACAATTAGCGACAAGCACGTTCTTGCCATACTGAGGACAAAGGATAAAGGATAAAACATCGACATACAAAGAATTACTAGTCACAACATTCGCTCATAGCGCCTTGGTTGTTCCGCAAGACAATGCATTCATAAAATCTTACATCAATACTGGTCTTTGCCCTCGAGGCTTCTGGATTACGGGGCGAATCTCTCTTTATCTCTAGATTTTCTTGTCTTTCCTCGGACCCGCCTGTTTCAGTCTGCTACTTCTCGAATAAAAAATAATATCAATATCCAATATTTTACAACGCAGATCACGAATACACATACCGTAAGTCGGTACTCAAAAAACATCATGCCGCTAATAAGCCGCGGGCGGATCACCGCCTTCGGATCACTCACACCAACTACAATACTCGCACTCCGGGATTCAGATATGCCTACCGAAACAGATGAAGCGCAGGCGGCATCAACCATAGCCCCTTTCGCTACGTCATTAAATGGCGTTGATCAGCCTGGTAACATGCTATTCAAGAATATGTTATGGTGGACGCTGGGTATCATAGCGCTCATCGTACTTACTACCCGTCTCCTTGAGATAGGATGGACCAAGATACGCCACGTCTCAGCTATGTCGACCCCGGCAGACAAACAAACTTACTGGAAGAGGTCCCAGTGGAGTCGGATGCCATGGTTGAAAAGAAATCTCATTTATGCCCCTCTGTGGAGGAAACGACACAACCGAGAGATCAAATTATCTGCTGCTATTAGCATAGGAACCCTGCCCTCTCGGCTTCATTCTGTTATCCTGGGCATCTATTTGATAAGCAACATCGTTTACATGTCCTACGAGGACTGGTTTCAAGAAAATCGGTACGCTCTGGCTGCTGAGATACGAGGGCGTTCTGGCACGTTAGCCCTCGTCAATATGGTCCCTCTGATCATCATGGCAGGTCGTAACAACCCCCTCATCGGGTTGTTAAGGGTTAGTTTTGATACCTACAATCTTCTTCATCGGTGGATGGGTCGGATGGTCGTGATAGAGGCCGTCATACATACGATCGCGTGGGCTGTTGTCGCGGCGGCTGCTGACGGGTATGACGGTATGAACTACCGGCTGATTCATGACACTTTTCTTGCTTCTGGTTTTGCTGGGACAATAGCTCTCGTTATCCTCTTTTTCCTCTCCCTCTCGCCAGTTCGACATGCTTTCTATGAGACGTTCCTCTCATTTCATATCATCTTAGCCTTTATTATTTTCGCCATGACTTGGGTCCACTGTGCGACGGCGACTCTTCCTGGTGGTCTTCCCCAGCTTTCGTGGATGGTGGCAATTTTCATCCTATGGGGAGCGGAACGGCTAGCTCGCATGTTCCGCCTCGCTTATAACAACTGGTCGAAACGGAACGGTTTTACCGAAGCCGTTGTAGAACCTTTACCTGGTGACACAACTCGAGTTACAATGCATTTACCTCGTCATGTTGACATCCAACCGGGAACACACGCATATATCCGCTTCATGGGAATTACTCCGTGGGAGAACCATCCCTTCTCTATCGCCTGGATTGAACATCATCCCGAAGTCGACACGACAGCTCTCGAAAACAAAGCTGATAAAGAGTCCCAAAGGAGAGGCACCACCTCTGTATCTTTCCTCATTGGTGCTCACACAGGTTTCACCCGGCGACTTTATGAAAAAGCACTCAAGGAAGGATCCCCTTCCATTCGGATTAGGGCAGCCATGGAAGGCCCCTACGCAGGCCATCACTCACTTGACTCATACGGTCATGCTGTGCTATTTGCCGGCTCGACTGGTATCACCCATCAGCTCTCGTACCTCAAGCCGTTAATCGAAGGATTTGACGAGGGGACAATTGCGACAAGACGGATAACACTAGTATGGATAATACGTGATACCGAGTCGTTGACATGGGTGCGACCCTGGATGGACGAGATACTACGGATGCCAAGGAGAAGAGATATCCTTAACATCCGGTTGTTCGTTACGCGACCGAAGAACACGAAGGAGATTATTTCAGCTTCCAGCACGGTCCAGATGTTTCCGGGACGACCCAACATCCCTACCCTGCTCAGGAAGGAGGTTGAGGAGCAGGTCGGAGCGATGTGCGTCACGGTATGTGGCCCTGGTGCCCTAGCAGATGACGTGCGACAGGCGGTCCGCGACGTTCAGGATGAATGCTCCGTAGTCGACTTTGTAGAGGAGAGCTTCACATGGTAAATAGTCACCAGAATTACTCGGGCCTTTTCGGTGCAGACAATATTCTAGACCATCGAACTATCGTGAACGAGGCCGTCATCGGACGAAATCCTTCGGCTTCCAGGTTATAGCCCCTGGAATGCACCACATCACGAGGATCGCAGCCCTGGTAGCCTAGGAACGATATAAAAATATGTAAGTGGGGAAGGTCACTTTTTGCATTCAATCCATAGCAAAGGCGTTAGGGGGGGGCTGAAATTAAGACGGATTTCCGCGTTATCATATACTAAGGGGTTCTGAAGCTTATTAGCTATATTATGATTGCCCCAAGTTACGATGTGCTTGAGGCTAAGCTATCCTGTATCTAAATTCGCGAGCTGCATTTTAAGCCAGCATTGTTTATAGAAGACAAGTCATGAAAGCGCCATTATTGTGCTCGAATTAAACTGCATCGATTTATAACCCTCTTATTGATGAGGGCTATATCCGAGCCTGCCAATAAACGTTTCTGCATATGGACGTGTAACAGTTAATTTATTAGCTCTGTCTATCGAATCTCGCGCCCTTCTTCACTAATATGTCACGACATGTATGTCATATCATGTTAAATGATATTGGCTTGTGTTTAGTGGACGAGTCGTAGTGCATGGCTTATAGTGGATGGTCCCGTCATGTTCCACTAACACGGAAGCATAAGTACCTAATGCCCCTCTATCCTAAATACCCCTCTATATATGCACATGGGGCACGCAACGGATAGGTCTAATTTCGTTATGTAGACAGTAAATGCAGTTACAGGGGTGAAAGGTCGCCTACCTGCGGGGTTACCTTGCAGAAAAGTAAAGAGAAAACCCCACCTTCTCAATAATCAAAGACTGTAGACTGGTGACTGGTCCGCAGACGGCACTGACGAAATTTTTATTAAAGAACCTTAAGTAACCGAAGTAGATGTGTATGAGTCTGAACCTTGAATTGGATTCTGACTCATAAATGTGACCTCCTTCTTCTCTCAATTGGAGATTTTAAACTTTAATGAATTAACAATTCGAAGTTCCTATTTTCAACTCTAATTCAATTCTTTAACAATCGTGATACTTCCTCACCTACAAACGTTCAAAGGTACCTTCGATCAACCCGTAGCAAAGCCCCGCGTTGCGTTGCGCTCCCACCAAGCAGTGGTCCCACCATCACCATGCCGATGTAAGTAGTACCAAAGACGCCCGACAATATAATATAAGAATTCCCATCAGGGCCCATCCATGATCAGAAAACTTCGAGGCTGAGACAAGATTCGTCATACAGGCTTAAGGATCCTTCCAAAAAGTACAAGAAATTTACACCTCTAAACCTCCCAAATCGCCAATGGCCTTCTAAGACAATTGACAAGGCACCGAGATGGCTGGCAACAGACTTACGAGATGGCAATCAAAGTCTGGTCGACCCAATGGTTTGTATTCTGGTATCCTTGGTACCTACGAACATGGTCTGATAATAAATTTTACAGAGTGGTGACGAAAAATGGAGATTCTTCAAGATGTTAGTCGACCTTGGTTACAAGGAGATCGAAGTATCCTTCCCTTCTGCGTCGCAAACGGATTTCGACTTTACAAGACGATTAGTCGAGACTCCCGGGGCCGTACCCGACGACGTCTGGCTGCAAGTTTTAGCACCGTGTCGAGAAGACCTCATCCGCCGCACTGTCGACTCCCTCAAAGGCTCTAAGAAGGCTCTCTTACACATCTACCTCGCAACGAGCGAATGTTTCCGACGTATCGTGTTTGGCTTTACAGAAGAAGAGAGCCTTGAGAGGGCGGTAGCATGTGCTAAATATGCTCGTTCGATTACTAAAGATGACCCGGAACAAGCTGGTACGGAATGGGCTTTCGAGTTTAGCCCTGAGACATTCTCTGATACCAGCCCCGAGTTTGTCATCCGCGTTTGCGAAGCTGTCAAGGCTGCTTGGGAACCCACGGTAGAAAACCCTATCATCTTCAATCTTCCGGCAACTGTCGAGATGTCGACGCCCAATGTCTATGCCGACCAAATCGAGTACTTCTGTACCAACATTAGCGAGCGAGAGAAGATTTGTGTCTCTCTTCACCCGCATAATGATAGGGGATGTGCCGTTGCTGCTGCCGAGTTGGCGCAGATGGCGGGAGCCGACCGCGTTGAGGGATGCCTTTTCGGAAATGGTGAACGGACGGGAAATGTTGACCTAGTCACCTTAGCTTTGAATCTCTACACCCAAGGTATCCACCCGAAAATCGACTTCTCCGATCTAAATCGGGTTGTCGACACTGTGGAGATTTGTAATAAGATCCCTGTCCATCCCAGGGCACCGTACGGCGGATCTCTTGTCGTATGTGCCTTCAGTGGCTCTCACCAAGACGCTATCAAGAAGGGTTTCATGCAGCGGGAACTGGAGGGCAAGTCGTACGAGGACTACTGGCAGCTCCCGTACCTCCCTCTCGATCCTCAGGATATCGGCCGCACATACGAGGCTATCATTCGTGTCAACTCTCAGAGTGGCAAGGGCGGTGCCGCTTGGATCATCCTGCGCAAACTCCAGCTTGACCTTCCTCGAGGCCTACAAATCGCATTTAGTAAAGTAGTACAGAGGAGGGCAGACCAGCTGGGCAGAGAGCTTCTATCGGCTGAGATCACTGATCTATTCGAGCAAACATACTTCCTCCAAGAGCATCCTCGATTTAACATTATTGACTACTCCATCTCATTCGATCGATCATCATCCCCGGTTCCACCGGCACCTGGTGCCACACAAGAAACTAAAAACCTCGCCCGTGTTTTCGAAGGTATTGTCGCTATTGATGGCAGAGAATACCAGCTTCGCGGTCGTGGCAACGGTCCTATTTCGTCCCTAGCAAATGCCCTGAAAGGTGTGGGTATTGATCTGGATGTTGCCGACTATAAGGAGCACGCCATAGGAGGTGGCCGAGAAGTCAAAGCAGCTACGTACATAGAATGTACTGCTGCTGGTACATCACAAAAAGTTTGGGGTGTTGGCATACACGAAGATGTGGTACAGAGCTCTCTCATAGCCCTCCTAAGTGCTGCTAGCAACGTAAGTACTTATAATAAGCTAGCAAACGTTGGCGTTGTCTCTAACGAAATCCTTCAAACAGTTTATCCTTAGCCGACCGGGAAGTCCCGTCTTGAGAAAACATGCGTCGCCGCGAAGCATCAGTCAGGAGTTGAAGCTCGACTACAACAATCTTATAAATGGAAGTGCCAATTCCCATTCCCATGATGACGCCCCGTCCGAGACAGTTCAAGCCTTAGAAGCTAAGGCAAATGGGATGTAAAAAAATCTGGTTGATGATCTACGGCGTCGGGATATGAGAGAATTAAAAAAAAAAAAGCATTTGAAAAAGCATATGATCAACAATCTGGTTTTAAGTGTGTCTGCATTGAAACGGGGCACTCGACCACTCGACTCATGCTAAATGAAGCATGATGAGGGGTTCAGCTTCTCATATTTGCATTTATGTAAAGGCATATACATACGTGGGGATGAATAAAGTGAAGAGCGTTGATTTAAAGTGAAATGCTCATGCGTGAGATTAGCAAAGATTAGCAAAGATTAGCAACGATGATGGTGGACATCTGCGGCTGATTATCCCCCACTTCCCCCTTTTTATAAGGATTGTGTGGGAATTGTCAATCAGCATAATACATACCTACATACTAATCCGTAGTACAGTAGGGGCTCGAGCGTGTATGTACATGGCAGGTATGTATGGGTATGGTCAGCAAGGGACGAACTTCCCGAACCCTTGACTGGGCACTGGGACGAATGCGGGGAAGAGCTGCGGGAAGAACTGACAATCCGCATTCCGATTTCGCAAACATGTGAACTAAACTGATTCAACGTCTTAAGTATTTGCCTAGCGCCACAAATGGGTTGCTTGGTTTAGTTGGTTGGTTTAGAAGACTTGATTGAATATATGTATATCGTTATAGAGGTACTTGACATATTAGGTAGACTTATAAGAGGTATACATGTAAGGCAGAGGTAACTTGCAACCTGCAGGTACATATGTACATAGGTAGATAATGTAGGTACATATGGAAAGTATCTGGTGGGGTAGGTACATATATACATGTACGAATTAAGCTGTTGTATTGTACCTAAGCCTGCAGCTAAAATCAATGCTCTTCTGCCTGGACGAATTATATGCCCGAAATTCTATAAGATTTTAGGGCGCAGAAGGTACATATGATAGGTAAGGTACATACATGTCTACTATGTAAGATGAAGCTCACTCTATCAAATGTAGTTATGCAGTTATGATAGATAGTATATACATGTATGGTACCTTAAAGAAGTGGCTCACCGTTATTTCTTCGACTGTGCACACCTCTTTTTTTTTTTTTGTCTAACCTAACCTTTTAAACTTGACCTTGGCCTATTTCTCGAGAAAAGAATAGAAGGTTCTTAACACCACTTGACTCAATTTCCCTATGTACCTTGGGCACACAACTTGCATTCTGCACATTCATTCCCTCTAGGTACCTACTTTTATTGACAACTACCTAACCTTATCTGCCTACGTCTCATTATTCTCTTTCCCTCCTTTCAGGGAAAACAAAGCAGCAAGGACGACGGATATTATTGTTTGCCCCTCTTACGAGTTGACGGGGTAATTCTATCAGATTCGTCATTTATTAGTTAGCCTAGTGCTCTAAGAAGTTGCAGTTGTCGGTTGTTACAGGTGTTGCAAGTTGCAGGTTGCAGGTCGTGAGTGTCAACAAAATAAAATAAAAAAAAGGGACCCGCTGCATCACTCCGCCTACCTCGTTAGGTTTTTATTTAGGGAGCCAGAAAAAAAAAAGGTCGCTACTGGTGCACTCCAACTGTCCACCGGCGACTTCTGCAATTCTAATCTTTTCGCCTTTTTCTCCCAAAAACTTTCCTTTCAACTCAACAACTTGACAATACCTCATTCGCAGTCTCGGACTAGCCTTAATAGAACCCAAACGGTCTTCTTCCGCTTTCCCTGACCTCTTTTTTCACCACTTATCAGCCTCATTTCGGCTTTTTCGACCGTCTACCACCAACCAAATACCCCCCCTTCATAAATTCTACCGAACGACTTAATACTAAACCCACAAGACTGACATCCAACACCCTGGAATCCACTTGAAAAAGAATACGAAAAAAGGTCGGTCGCGCAGAAAATATGGCTGACAACAGTGATATCAACACTGTTCTCAGCAACTCGTTGTCGCCAGGTATGTATTCTCAAGATTTTAGTCGTTTTGACTGTTAAGCGCCTCGCGTGCTCGTACCTACACGTCATATTTTACTGAGCTCTATACTAATCCTTCGCCCCTCTCTCCATAGACGCGGCTACGCGAACTGGTGCCGAGCAACAGTTAACCCAAGCTGCCGAAAATAATTTTGTAAGTTATTATTGTTGGTTAATTAACAAGTTGATCGACAGTAGCTGACCTATGGCCTTTACTTTTAGCCCCTGTATTTGGCGACCCTAGTTCAGTCATTGGCAGACGAGAATGCCCAAGGAAACATCAGAGTTGCTGCGGGTCTAGCCTTGAAGAACGCATTCAGTGCTCGCGAATTTTCCCGACAGAACGAGTTACAGCTCAAATGGCTACAGCAGACCGATCAAGAAACCAAGGATCGCGTCAAGGAGCTCGCCATCCAGACACTTTCCTCTAGTAACGCGCAAGCTGGTCAAGCCTCAGCCCAGGTTATCGCCGCTATCGCCGCTATTGAACTTCCTAGGAACCAATGGCCAGATCTTCTGCAGGTCTTGGTTCAAAATGTTAGCGCGGGCGCGCCTCATCAGAAGCAAGCTTCGTTGACCTGTATAGGCTACATTTGCGAAAGTCAGGATCCCGAGCTCCGAACTGCCTTGATCGGACACTCTAATGCTATTCTTACCGCTGTCGTCCAAGGTGCGCGCAAGGAAGAGACGAACGCGGAAGTGCGTTTTTCCGCCATAAGCGCACTTGGCGACTCCCTTGAGTTCGTCGGTAACAACTTTAAGCACGAAGGCGAGAGGAACTACATCATGCAGGTTGTTTGCGAGGCTACCCAGGCCGACGATGCGCGCATACAGCAGGGTGCCTTCGGTTGTCTCAACCGCATAATGGGTCTCTACTACGAGAATATGCGCTACTACATGGAGAAGGCCCTATTTGGTCTGACGATTTTGGGCATGAAGAACGACGACGAGGACGTTGCGAAGCTTGCCGTGGAATTCTGGAGCACCGTGTGTGAAGAAGAGATCAACATAGAGGAGGATAACGCGCAGGTATGTCGCCATAGTCAGCGTTGGGCTTATAACTGGCTGACAAATTTTGTGTAGGTCGATAGTGCCGATCAGATGCGCCCTTTCTATAACTTCGCCCGAGTTGCGACTACTGAAGTTGTACCTGCTCTGCTACTACTCCTTACCAAGCAAGACGAGGATGCAACAGATGACGAGTATAACTTGTCACGAGCCGCATACCAATGTCTCCAGCTTTACGCCCAAGCCGTTGGAGCCAACATCATCCAACCGGTCATTCAGTTTGTCGAGCAGCACCTTCGATCCGAAGACTGGCACTTCCGAGAGGCCGCGGTGGCTGCTTTCGGAGCAATCATGGAAGGGCCCGAAGAAAAAGTCCTCGAGCCTATCGTCAAGCAGGCTCTACCCATCCTGATCAGCATGATGGAAGATAGCTCTACTTTTGTTAAAGACTCAACTGCATATGCCCTCGGCCGCATTACGGATGCCTGTTCGCAAGCTATTGATCCCACAACGCACCTAGACCCTCTAATTCGGTCTCTGTTCGCCGGTGTCCACGACATTAAGATGGCAGCGTCTTGCTGTTGGGCTTTAATGAATTTGGCAGAACGCTTCTCTGGAGACTTTGACGCGACTTCCAACCCTATCACGCCTCACTTTAACCAGAGTGTTCAAAATCTCCTGGCGGTCACTTCGCAGCCGAACATAGAGACCTCTGTTCGTACCACCTCTTACGAGGTTCTCAGTGCTTTCGTCCAGCATGCCGCGACGGAGAGCTTCCCGGCTATTGCCCAACTTTCCGATGTGATTATTAAGCGACTCGAAGAGACCATCCCCCTTCAAAACCAGGTCGTCAGCATAGAAGACAAGATTGCATTGGAAGAGATGCAGACGAGCCTGAGCACTGTCCTACAGTCAATTATCCAGCGACTAGAGAAGGAAATATCTCCTCAGGGAGACAGGATTATGCAGGTCTCGCTTCAGATTCTCAGCACAGCCGGAGCCAAGTCCAGTGTCCCCGAGTCGATCTTCGCCACGATAAGTGGGTTAGCGAACGCGATGGAAGAGGATTTCGTCAAGTACATGGATGCTTTCACTCCGTTCCTATATAACGCACTCGGAAATCAAGAAGAACCAAGTCTCTGCTCTATGGCCATCGGGTTGGTTAGCGACATAACTCGATCAATGGGCGAGCGCAGCCAACCGTACTGCGATAACTTCATGAACTACCTCTTAAACAATCTCAGGGTTTGTCTTTTCTCATACTTCCTAATCTTTTCTTGAAATTTATCTTTTCACATCTCATCATCTCTCGAACGATAAGTCTAACAAATCAGGTGCAGAGTACGACCCTCTCGAACCAGTTCAAGCCCGCCATTCTACAATGCTTTGGCGATATTGCCAATGCTATTAGTGGGCATTTCGAGACTTATCTATCCGTTGTCGCCCAGGTCCTACAACAGGCCGCGACTGTGACGGCTGCCCCCGACGGTTCTTATGAGCTCTACGACTACGTCATATCCCTACGAGAAGGTATCATGGACGCCTGGGGTGGCATTATTGGTGCCATGAAGCTGAGTGGCAAGAGTAAGTCATATTTCAGGACCATTTTGTATGTGTGTACTAACAATTGAAAAGCCCCAGCTCTCCAGCCCTATGTGCAGTCCATCTTCCAGCTGCTGAACATCATATCCCAAGATATGAACCGTAGCGAATCTCTCATGCGATCTTCGATGGGAGTTATTGGGTAAGATTACACGTTAACTTTACCTCTCGAGACCATGTGCTAACTAAGATATTAGTGACCTGGCCGATGCTTTCCCTAATGGTGAGCTTGCTGAAGCTTTCAGACAAGACTGGATCACTGCTATGATCAAGGAGACCAAGACCAACAGGGAATTTCAGTCTCGTACGATCGACACCGCCCGATGGGCCCGAGAGCAGGTCAAGCGACAACTAGGCGGCACCCAGGCTATCATGCAACAAACTTGAGCTTCGGCAATCGAGTCGTTTGAGAGTTATTGCCCACCCCATCCTACCCCATTCAT